TTTCTTCTTAGAAGTCCAAGCCGCTAGCTTAATCTGAGTTGCTCCACATTTCACTCACTTAATTCACACTCCCATTCATCTCTAATGCACTGAGCACTCATATATTCATGATATTGTGGAATCTCATCAAGCCGGATGTCTGCAGTTTGTATTGTCAAGTTTGCTGAGTATGCCCAGCACTCTCTGGAGACTTGGAGCCGTAGTGGCTATAAATATTATTTAATATCTACAAAGTGTCAAAGGCAACTGTTTTCCAAGACGACTTTTGCCTTCGCCTGACTGAGTCTTCGGGTTCGAGTTTCATTGATCATTTGATCACGTAAAAATAAGCTGCATTTGAGTTTGGGGCCGAAAGCTGTCAGAATTTTGAATTGTTTGAAGGATAACATCAAAAAGAAGGTATGAATGGTTCGATATTGTTGATTCGGCTGTAATCGCATAACCAGCGGTTATACCAAAAGAAAGAGAAGAAGCATATAATCGAAACTGTTCAGAGATGACTGTTCTATTTCCTTTTTAAGCTTGATATATGCGATATTTCTAATTTTTCTACTTTTTCCGGTTTTCACTGTCAATGACTAGAATGACAATCAGATTTGATACCGGTATACGGGTACTTCCCACTTAAAAGTATCATAAGACCTACTCCTCGTTAGCTCTTCCTGTTTTGACTGTAAAAGTGTCTATTCGAGCCTTGAGAACAGCTTACTTCCACATAACATGGAGCATTTAGACGATTATTTTGAAAATATGTCGAAATGGCTAATATTACACTCAAGAAAATATTACCACCCTGAGCATAAGAATGATGCAAAACGCTTACAGTATTTAAAAGGTTTTGTCTCGTATAATTTCCGTTGCTCAAGCAAGGACAACAAATAACTAAGTCATACGAAAACAAAACAAAACCGAACAAAAACATAAACGCCATCATTTACAGAGACACACAGGCATACAGATAAACTCGTAAATGAATCATGATTGCCACATATAAACATGTGTAAGTATGTGTAAAGTGTGCAGTAGTTTTTCATTCATTTTTTAAGACACACTGAGACGTTGACAATGTCTTAGTCTTTTATGCATCTCATGGTTTCACCTTGTTTTTCGGCACACAAAAGCCCTTGATAACGACCGACCAACCAACCGACAATGAACATCACACGTCGTATGCACAATTCACAATGCACTGTTCATACATATGCATATACAAGTATGTATACACATGTGATCGGATGCAAGTTTCTCAATAAGAGGCGACAGTTTTGACACCAAGTGTGTTTACTTTTGTAAGGGAAACCGCAAAAAACTTAAGTCGCAAACATACCAGCGGGGAATACTATACATAGAACAAGTGCATGTATGTATGTAAATGTATATGTAGAGAGTTATAAAGGGAGATAAATGAAATGGTAACTAATATTCTCAATGTAAAAAAGAAACTCTAGAAAGAGCAAGGTATTCAGTGCCGAAGGTGCCGTAGGGAAAGGTGGTATGTCCATTTGGGGCTTTCGGAAATAGACGTAAAAATGCATTTAAAATAATTTTATTCATTTAACTTCGTTTTGGAATGTGATATACAATTCAAGTGACCATATCGCGAATTTTTTTCAACTCCAATCTGTTTGAGGTAATTTTCGACCATTTCTATCTCAGGTATGACTGAACGAATGTTGGTTTTCCTGTGCTCAAGAGTTAACGGTTTAGCCGCATAAGCTCCGCCTATTATACGGCCATAACGCTCTGAATTGGCAGTGAGAGCCTCGCCGATTTCGTTTTCAAACAAGTAAGGTCCAATCGCATTTGTGAGCTAAAGAACGCGCCACATAATTGATGTTAATGGCATCTTTTCAATTATTTGAGGATTTTTGGTGCTTTAAATCTGAGATTTTTTGCTTATTTACATATCCCTCGAAAGAGAAATGTTCCTCGTCGCTAAGGGAAATTTCATTCGAAAAATCGCCGACCACTGCTTGTCGTTTAAGCACCCAATCGACGTAAGTGCCACGTTGTGAATGGTAAACTAGCTTCAGTGTTCTGTGAACTGGACCATAATTGGATGTAGGTGTAGTCCAATGGCTTAACACGCCATAACGTGTAGTCAGAAAAACTCAGCTCTTGAGGTTCGTTGAAAAGTAGAAATTTTCGCATCTCCAACTATACTTTCACTTACAGTAGCGATATTTCAAATAAAACTAGCAAGACGACTATTCATTGGCATTATAATTTCTGCGAACGATCCGGTCACTGCAAATCTCTTTGAAATGTTATCGATTCCGTGAGTAGTTCGACGATTATGTGCAGCAAAATATCTTCTTGAAGCACGAAACGTGGCTACCTTTGATTCACCATTTTTTAGTAAGTTGTAACAACTTCAACCCTTAATACGGTAGTTAGGGGATCCATGATCATAAATACCACGCTTTTAACAAAAACAAAACATGTTTAGTTTGACTGTTCAGCTCGACGGATCGTAAAATACAGCCCTGTGCTATTGAAACTACGAAAAGTATAGTCCAATATTAATTATGTGTGAGGATTAGTTTGAGGATTTTTGAGTTAGTCATTTCTGAAAGGAAAGATTCAAAAATATACCTTGGAAAAATGTAAACCGAAACTTACATAATTTTTTTTTTTTTTTTTTTATAAAAACCAATAGATTATATCGTTAGTCCACTTTTGGAAATTGAAAGGAAATAAAAATTTCCATGTGGGTACCTTCATTACACAGTCGCCTGTACTGCAACTTCTTCTTATTCTTTTCACCACAAAACACTTGTCAACTACTTTGAAACTTAAAACACACAATGACAGTTAGAAATTTATATTCGCGAGAAACGTAACATACACGTACATCCCTAGCATATACAGGAGTATGAACCAACGTCTCTTACATAGAAAGAACAATGCTGGTGTTGTAAAAAGTTTGTAATAGAAAGAGTTAAAATTTGTTTACATTCTCCATCGTCACTTTAACACTTTGTAATTAACAGTTTTTCGTTTAATTTCATTTAATTTAAGTACTCATTTATGGGAATTGCTCTTCTATCTTATTCGAATCCGGCGTACTCTCGAAGAATCTTTAACGAGTGCTCTCAGAGAATAGGAATGAGTGTATTTAGACAAAAGATAACCACAAGGAATAGCGCAATTTTTCAAATTTTTATATTATGTCGTTATTCTTCTTCTTCTTTACTGACAAATACACCGTTTATGCGATTATAGCCGTAAGTACAGGTCCTTCTCTACGAAGCGGAGATCTTCCTTTTCCTGTGATTTCAACGGCGGGTACTGCTACATAAACCTTCGAAGCTGAGAGCATTCTTATTTATCTGGACTACATTAACTAGATAGCGAGTCCCCGGCGTTATTATGTTTTTGAAAAGGGAGCCGTGTGCGGTGTATGAGGACTCCTAGTTTACTACCCAGACCATACGTTTTGCCTCTTATCCAGTCTGTAGTGTCTTAAAGATGATTGTACCTTCTCTCTTTTGCTCTGCAGCTCGTATTAATTTCTTCCGCAATAAATTAAAGAGTAAACTTGTCTGAAAGAACGATTGGCACGGAAGAGTCTGGATCCTGACGGAACTTTTGGTGTTGCTTAACATCATTTTTGGGGGCATAACCAAAAGTGGGGTCTCCAATCCAATATGGTTGTGTCTTTTTCTTTGTGAGTGTGGTTTAACGTTTAGCAAACTCAGCATATGCGAGCAGTCTTAATTTTAGCATACATTTATATAGCGAGCCGCTTGCTCTAAGACCGACGCGCAATCGCACATCTTTTAAACAATTAAATGTTGTATCCACACAGAAGTTCCCTCTCTTTTAGCTGTGACCGGAGGCTACACAAGGGTTCCTCACGTTTACAAAGATGCGTGGCGTGGACGTAAGTCGCCTTACTTTTATAAGACTTGAGAACCCATACATAATATATATCTTAATAGTATTTCACGCAAAAGTAATGAATAAAACTTTTTTTTTTATTGATATCAACGGGACAAACAGTCAATAAAGAGCATTATTTGAGCATCACACCGAGCTGGAGTTGTAAACGATTTTAAAAGCAGAAACTCATTCAATACTATCAATTAACCACCGTATTCACAGGATCTGGCCCAAAGCGACTTCGTTTTTGTTTCCTAAACTCGACTCGATTGAGACCGTAAAGGAAAATTCGTAGATCGACTGCTTTCAGCAGCTGCTGCAAACAAACTGGGCAGTGCTACCAACTTAACTCAAAAAAGTGCTGAAAAATATCCAGTTTAAATCCCAATTTCTGGTCTTAATGTCTCTTAGAATGGGCTGTCATATGAAATATTTGTTAGTGGTAGAATTAATTAAACTTTTTGCTTTACAATTTTTGCATTTTGGATATTGAATTTTTATATTTGAATTAAATGCGAATTTTTATCTTTTCAGGATAAAGAGTTGACGGGATTTTTCTTGTTTGCATATTAAGTTATTTGTTTTTGTATGATTGGTATTTTTTTATGCTTGTTTTACGTCATGTCGAGATTTTTTATTGTCTGGATTTTAAAACTCTTGAAGCGAAGAGTTTCCATGTCAAATAGATTACCTTACCGGAAAACTCCATGTCCAAAAATAAATTCAACCTTAAAGAATTCGCTCTCTCCATATCTTCTTTCAGTCATCTACTTGAGCAGAGAACGAGCTTTTAGAACTATCATAGAGATCTTGCTAATCGCAAATAGACCGACGCCTGTCTTCGGTACCAATTCCCTACCGGGCTTCGTATGGATGGCCTGTAATACACCCTTTTCATTTACTACTCTACAATGATGTTTTGCCCGTGTAAATCATCTATAATAAAAACGTCGGACGTGTGTTTGAACTTTCTATTATATGCTTGTATCGTTTTTCAAGGCCTCCACCGAAATTAGTACAGCGCTCTAAAGAGAAAAATTTGTGCTGCTCTCATCTGACTACTCGGCAAATCATAAAATTTTGACATTAACAAATCCCTTACTTATTCCTTTCAGAACATGTATATATAGAGATGGCAAAGATTACACGACGTGCCGTTGCCTCGTCGTCGTCATCATCTTCGTTATCGTCGTTATCGTCGGTATCATCATCAAGGTCACCTAGAGCAACGAGTTCTTCCGCTTCAAAGGCTTCCAAATCAACTGCTACGGCAAGTGCAACAATAAAAACCACAACGAATGCCAATAACATTATCTATGGCGGTAAGCCAGCACATTTTGCCGCAACGGATATGTGGGACAAACTGGCAATGCCACTTACTGCATTTAATGATACTCCTCCTCCACCACCACTACGTGGCAGCAACAGCACTATTATATCAACGAACGGGAAGAACGCCTCACCCGCCGTTACGAATACAACGACTGGGTAAGGATAATTATTATTTTTATTTCTATTTTTCTTACTCTTATTTTCCATTCTTTTAGTACCGCTTCCGTATTCGCCGACACAAATGGACGACACAGAATCTTTACGGGCAGTGGCAGACACAATAAAAGTCAAATTGAGCGAAGGATCGAACAAGAAGAATTCTATGCCACTTATGACGTGATGACTGGTGTACGTATAGCCGCAACGCTTAGTGGTTTCTTCGGCTTGATGGTGTTCCTTATAGTTTGGAAGAGTCGCAGTAGTTCCAATGAAACGTTGAAAGTTCTGAAGGTGAGTGTTGTTTGAAAAACAAGCATCTCTTCCTCTAGATACGTATTCTACCGTAGTTATTTTGATCGAATATGCGGATTTAGTGAATATGGAAATATTTCGCAAAATCCTTTTGAAAACTGTTACATTCGCTTTTATCTGAGCTCTCGTTAATCTCTTCCGATCTTTCTAGGATCCCAAAATGGCTGCTGTGGCCGCTGTGTGTATGCAGGAGGAGGAGGAGCGTGAAATTCAGGAGGCCATGGTCGCAACTGGTATGTCGATATACCCGGACGAATATGATGCAATCGTCTATCGGCGACAACGAATGTTATCCCTCGGCAATGTTAGTGCACCTCCCATGCTAAATCGGGGTTATCGTTTCTCTTCAGTGGGTAAGTGCATTGTATTTAAAAAGTAGTATTGAATTGAGCATTAATTCCAACAAGATATTCCTGATTATGAAACTACAGGTGGTGGTGGCTACAGCAGCTTGCTGGAGCCACCTCGTCGATTTTCCTATTCAGCCACTTCCGGTGTGGGCAGTTTTACGGGTGGACGTCGAAAAAGCGGCTCCGAATCATCACGTATACTTAGTAATTACCCGATGGGCAGTAGTTTTGGCAACGACGATTACTTTATAGAGACAGAGGATGAGTTGGAATGCACCGATTATCCGCGTAGTGGGACACAACATGATGAACTGCCAGATATGCCACAACGCACTGATTCAACGAAAAGTAAACGTGGGTTCTTGGAAGTACCGCCGGCGGTGGGTTATACCTCGCAAATAGTACTTGAAACATAAATAATATTTATTTAATTACAGGGTCAAGACTCACGCCGCAGCAGCGCAATGACATGTTGCAGTACTGAAAGCTCATATTTGGAGCGACGCTGTTCGGCATTCACTTTGGGTCTATCTAATCTGCCACCAACACTTCAACGAAAGCTTTCGACCACCTCGCACGCATCAAGCACCGACAACTGGGACTACTACTATCCGGATATACAGGTTATACAGCCAACGCCGAAGCCATCACCTTGCCCATCGGAGCGCAGTCTTTACGAGCAATTACAAGCACATGCAAATGAGGCTTCTACGTCGCACGCAAAGACCACTAGCAAAAGCGATCAGGCAGGGCCTGAGAAAGTGACCCATGTAGCAACTATTACTACACAGAGCAAGACTGGCACGACAAACACCATGGTTACAGGGGACAAAAAGGCCATCAATACGCCAACTGAGGCGCAAAAGTTTGTGCGTAAACACAGTATAGCCTACTATGACCCGGAGAGCGCACAGGCTGGTCGTAAGCAAGAGATACACTCCATTAGCGCTGACACTGTTGACATATACCCATACAATCAAACGCATTATGAGCCTAGCAGTTTGATTGGTTTCACCGATGCTTCCAGTAGCATCACTGGTACCGTACTGAAGCCACCACTACACACAGTTGGGCCCACGCCTACAAGTACACACTATGGTTTTCATTACACTGACTCGCCGACGGAGGATTCCCGTGGTAGTCTACGCGGCAAGGTCGCGATGATGGAACTGCAACGCCTCAACTATCCAGCCGAGCAGATGACACCGCCGCCCATACAAGAGCACAATAACAATAACTTTCCGTATTCTAGTTCCGCTGCGGCCATAGCGGCAGCCGCTGTTATAACCGCCAACTCGAGTAGCATTAGCATCGATAGTACGCCCATTAGTTTGGATAAGCTAAACGGTAGCGGCAGTTTGGGCACCATATCAGCGAAAGCACTTTTCAATGTAGAAAAGCGAGCACCGCTCGCTTCGCTTAGTTCCTTTAAAATCTCGTCAATAGAGTATCAAGACTCTGAAGCGCGATCAGCTGACGAGGACTCGGTGTTCCTGGATAGTGTTGCCGACACAGATGAGGATATGCAACAGTTGAGTAGTGATAGTGATGAAGCCAGCTTCGGCGAACACGATCCCACTACTACGCAAGAGAATGTAGCGCTCGTTGTACCGCATATAGGCACTGACGTCTCCAGCACTGAGGTTTCTACAACTGCTCATAACATCCACACGCAGCCAATTAGATATCCCATCGAAAAGCGTTACAGTCTTGGTCCAAGCTGTCTGACTGGAGCCAGTGGTTCGAAGCTTACGCGTGCACGACGTCCACTACTACAACGTCACCGAACAATTAGTGTCTCCTCTAGCGATCGTGTCGCACTGATCGGTCACCAGCTCAAAGAGTTTCAACACACCGGCAGTGGTAGTCAAACACCAACCACCATTGCCGAGTCCATGCCGCTTGAAACACATTTCGGTTCGATTATCTGCACCAGCGGTTCGCCAAGACATCCGCGGCGTGCTCAACTGCTGCAACAGTATAGCGATCCACATAGTCTGCCCACTACAGCCACAACTACTACCGAAGATGACACCTGCTCCACGCTGAATACGGAACTATGTGGTGGCGGTAATTTGGGTACACAAGGTCCAAGTGGCAGTGGCAGCGGCGGCGGCGGTGGTTCTGCGACTCTAACGCAAAATAGCAGTCTAAATACAGTCGTTAGTTTCGGCCGCTCGAGTCCGCTAACGGACAATAATAAAACGAGTTACAGTCTTAGCGTTGGTACAAGTGCAGCGGCTGCTATAGCCAGTCAACGCTTTTCCACTGCAGACACACACAAGGCTACGAAAAATCAAACAAACAAAACACAACCACAACTGCCATGCTCCAGACTCTACGATGACCCTTGTGCCTCCTCAGTATCCGACTCGTTGATCATCACATCAACAACGCGACAGCCAATTATTTGTATGCCAGCATCACTGAAAAATCTCATCCTACGTGGCTCTGGTTCCGGCTCCGGCTCCGGTTCGGGCGCCAGTGCCGTAAGCCCAACAACAGCAGATAAATTATTAGATTCACCGAGTGTGGTGATAATGAGTAGAAGTGCTACAAATTTGAGCACTCAAGAGACAAATCCACACGACGAAGAAGAGCGTACTTGTCGATCTGTTATGTTGGAACTGCCGCTTATAAAGTTGCCTACCGATGAGAGCTCCGATAGTTCCTCAGCATCGGAGAACAATGAACAGCGCACACATGGTAAAAGTGAGAGTGCGAGAGAACCGAGTGCGACTGGTAGCAATCGGAAATGGTCGAAGGAAACATTGTTCTAGCTAGGAACCAAAGCGCGACGCTCAATCTCAAAAATGGGTTGAGCTCACAAAGACTTAAAGACATCACGATTGACGGCATAAAGAGCTAATCTTATGAAACCCACGGAAATGTGAAACGAAATATCGCAAGGCAATAATAAAAGGCAACTTTAACTGTGCTCTTATCTGATGCATTGGAAGACCGCATGTGTAGATCGGTGGTTAGGAGCTATTGTACGACTGCCCGGCTCTAAGGAATTGCATTTGCTGTTGTGCGACACAAAACTTTTTACAGGAGCTTAGTATGTATCAGATTTTGCAAAAACAAACACATAAAAAAGAATAGGAAAATATGAAGAACTATAAAATCGTAAACTAAGGAAATTAGTACTAAAAGTAAAATTAAAAAAATTAAAAGTATTTATATTTGTAAGGTCAAAAAAAATGAAAGAAAAGAGCCAAAACACAATACAAAAACGGGTGAACTTATAAGCATTTCGTGAGCAATTTATGCGGTTCAAATTGTTATATGTATCTGATAGTAAATAACTCCATACATACATACGTAGATACCACATATACATATTTACTGAGAATAAAGAAAAGAAGAAGAAAAAAACAAAAATTTAGTGGAACTAAAATCATAATATGTAAATGTAGGCTTTAAAATTTACTTTGTGGGTGAGGATTGAAAGCGACTGTTACCTATTCAAACTAACCTCACATCTACACCTGTCATACTTTCCGTCATACATCTGTCACTTTCGCGATTTGACTTCTTTTATTTTCTTATTGAGCAATTAACCATCTCTCAACTCTCTCAACAACTCTCAACTCAAACTCATTTTAGAACGGTGGTCGTGTAGTCAGCTACATAAAGGGTGTTTTCAAAGTGTTTTCGGCGCAACATGCTACGTAGCCAACGAAGCAATCAATTTATTGAAGTAAACTTATGTTAAACGCATTATCTCGCGTCGTGAGCTTCTGGCGTTGTCTTAAAGATCGTGTATTCAAGAATGCAGGATCATTTTCCATGGAGTTATGTGAACTTATAGGCATATAAGCCCGGGACGAATTCCGCCTTGAAAGCACATTTTCGGTGCGTTATTTCTGCAAAAAGTAGTTGAAAATTGGTCCTCTTGCCTAGAATTTATTCGAGCAAACCTCGAAATTATTTTTAATACATAATGGCAAACACTTATCTTAACAATACAGTTAAATTCTAGGCTATAACATTAAATTATATGCGTTTTACTTGACGCAAAAAAAACCACGTGCATTAAATATTAGGTTTAGTAAAAAGTTCATTCGGTTTTTATCTAAGAGATGGCGTTATAGTCTAGTGTTACCTGTCCCATCATGTCATACTATTCGGCGCTGAAAACGTGTTTATTCGCGCAAAAAGTTTGAATTTGGCAGTTTTTCGATTGATTGACTCAGTACGTTGTGAGCGCGCGTCAGTGATGGAATGGACACCATCAAAGAGAAAATTTTCTATATTTCACAATTTTTCTTTGATCAAGGAGAAAAAACAGCCAAAGCGGCTGAAAAATTAATATAGCTTATGGGCCCGATACTGTAAACGAAAGTGTAGCACAAAAGTAGTTTGCTGGTTTCCGTTCTGTCGTCGAAAATTGCGATAAAATCATGGAAATAGTGGAAACAGACCGTCGCGTGAGCATTAATTTAATTGCTGAGGAACTAAAGATAAGCCAGAAACCCGTTCGAACCATTTACATAACCTTGGATTCAAAAAGATTTTTGATGTTTGGGTGCCACACAAACTAACGCAATAAAAACTCATGGACCGAATTTCCATCTGCGAATCGCTGCTGAATCGCAACAAAATCGAACCGTTTCTGAAGCGTACTGTGACTGGCGATGAAACATGGGTCACTTACGACAACATAGATTGCAAACGGTCGTGGCCCAAGCCCAGGGAAGCGGCACAGACGGTGACCAAGACGGAATTGACGGCCAGGAAGGTTGTGCTGTGTGTTTGGTGGGATTGGCAAGGAATCATCTACTACGAGCTACTCCCCTATGGCCAAACGCCGCTTGAAGGCTGCACTCATCCAGAAGAGGCCATCTTTGATCAACAGAGGCCGAATTGTGTTCCATCAGGACAACGCCAGGCCATACACGTCTTTGGTGACGCGCCAGAAGCTCCAGGTGCAATCGTGTGTTCTACAGCTCGTAATAACTTGTGGTCCCTGGCGTCCACTCTGTTTTCAAGTTAAAACGCTCATAAAGACGGAAAAGATGTCAGGTATACTAGATGTGGGGTAAAAATGAAGCGATTTAATCACGATAAAATGGCCTCAATAATACTTTTGGTTGCATAAAAAAAAAATTATTAATGTTTAGACTACTCTGTATTTTCTAAATGGTTTTTTTTCTGATTTTATATTGTAGAAAAAATTCAAATATGTTTTCCTTAATCAAATTTTTAAATATGTTTTCTTCAAAACTGCTTTTTTCAAGCTGGCTATTAACCCTGAAGCGGTCTCGCGGTCGTTTGTAATGGCAGTGGTCGCGCGTAATAGCAAATACCTACGGGATATTTGAAAGAAATAAAAAACTAATTAACTATAAATGGTTTAAATTTTTCTTTTTTAAATGCGTTTAAATTCAAAAAAGTCGAAAACACGTAACTTAAATTCAGATAAAGGGCAAATATAAAATTAGAAATAATGTTTCTAGGAAGGATCCAGGATTTTCGAAAAAAAAAACGAAATATGGCTTGTACTGTAAAGGTGTGTCATTTTGTTAACAATATTTTTCAAGGCCTGAATATTTATTGGCATTTCATTATATTGCGAATATTTATACACCAATATATAATCTGGAGTAAGTACGGTTATAAGCCGGCGTAAAATATGGAATTATTTTTGAATACATTACGAAATTACTGATAACTTACACAACACGTTTTGAAATCCGAGATTTCTCTTTCAGCTCTATTTAAAAAATAATTTTTTTCTGAAAATTTGATTCTGAGGATAAAGAAGCTTTTTTTAAGTGATTGTTTTACTAAAATCGAAGACAGTAAGCTTTTCTAAATCCTCCAACAATTCATAAGCCGTCATGTGTGTCCACGGAAATTGGCGGGAAAATGGTCAGTTTTGTTATTTGTGGCCCGAAAATGCTTGCAATCCGTTTTGGAACCTTTTTTGTTGGGAAAAGGCAACAAGCTCCTTAAAATGCATAGGCTACTCCAAGTAATGTTTTGGGTTGCAAAACTCGTCTAAGAATATGCCGATCGTATAGACGATTATTCCCATTTGGCTTGATTTATGCAAGTTTACCAAACATAATAGCACTCGAGGTGGTGGTAGTTCAGTGGCTCGGACCAGATCTTAGTGGTTTTGAATTTGATTTCTCAGCATGAATAACCGCTTTTCTATGATTCTACTTCGACTTGCGTTGGCTACTAATGTCGTCTCTAGTTTTTCGTGTGTCCGATTCATTTCCATTCCGGGCATAGCGTCTAGATATGGACCGATACCTGTTGCTATCCTGAAGTGTTCTTATAATTCAAAAGGATCGTCATTCAGAAGGTCCTGGTTCGTGTCCTGGTTCGTGTCCTGGTTCGACCAAGCATTAGCTACTCTCCACGGCAAAACACTAAGAGTGTTCCAAAGCTTGGGTCCGGTCTTGAAACCACATTACGACAACAACGTCTTATTATCCGTAAAAATTGTTTTAAAAAATGGATTTTTTTATTGCCTAAATATTCAAGTCTGTATATAAATTTCTAGGTATAAACATACGCGCTGATAGTCAGGTTGGTTCAACGCTTTACACTTTAAACGTGTTTTCCTCGAACTATGTTCTAAAAAACTCCAGAAAACTACTCAGCCGATCTTGATGAAATTTGAATCAGATCTTATCCTTTGAAAATTTCATGCGTACATCCTTAAGACAGTAAAATGTTTGAATGAAATATGTTATTTTTTATATAGAATAAGATGAATAATATACATACAAACGTGTTTTATTTTATTTTATTCGACAGTCACTGTTACCAGAATAAATCTGTTACAAAGCAAAGGTATAACTTTGTTTCAAGTATTAAGCAAAGCTAAAAAAATTGAAATTTGTTTTGAAGGTTTCGGGTTGATTCGTCACTCAGTCACGGCAAAACCTTTTTTAAATATTGATAGAAGCCTCAAGATCTCCTCAGATAATTTCAATTTAATTACCACTCCATTTTACTAGTTTACACAGTTTCACCCTCAAAAAAATAAAATAAAATCCAAAAACATAAAAGAAAACTAAAAAAATAAAAAAACAAAAATCTATGAAACTAAAAGTAAATGCAACAACTTTAGGGACTACTAGCGTGTAGAAACAACAAACATTTCTCTTTAACTATATAAATAACTTTTATAATGTTTGAATTTCAGTTCGAAGGTTTTTTAGCAAAAAAAAAAAAAAATCAAAAACAAAAAAAAAAACATAATAAATTTTCCAATCAAAGGCAAGCGTTTCAAGAAGCATAGTAATTACAAGCAAACATATGTACATATATACATTTGTATACTACATACATATGATATAAATATTTATTTACGAATTTGGTGCCTAGAAAATTTGAAAACGCACATTTTCGCAAAGGTTTCAGTTAAATTTTGGTTTTGAATATTGAATTTTTTTTCTCCAAACAAAATGGTTAGTAAAAAATACATACGTGTATGTATGTAATTTAAAAATTAAAAAAATGTATAGAAACAATTAGGACTTCTCTTCATGCCTTCCTTCAAACCCACCCAAAGTGCATATATACCTGAGAACAAAAACAAAAACAAAAATACAAAAAACAACACAAAAACTATAAAAACTTAAATCAATTAGAAGACAAGTGTGATTAAACTATGTCAAACATACATACATACTTACAAAAACATGAATATGGACCTTTTAGATGATTAGATAAATGAGAAATTGAAATTGCACGTAAACCGTATAAAAACATAAAAATTAAACAAATAATATTAAAGATATAATACTAAAACTAACAAAATTAAAAAACAGAAAAAAATATTGCTACAACAACTGAAAATAATAATAATTTTTTATAAAAATTATAAGGAAAAAAAAATATTAAATTAATTATTTAAAAAAATCCTTTAAAAACTGAAAAAATATAAATAAATCGTAAAATCAACAAATGAATTTAATTATGTTAAAAAGTAAGTAATTTCTTTTTTTGTGCTCATGTACATACATATGTATACGAATAATTTTCCAACCCACGTCAAAATTTCATGTCATGCCATATGTGTATGTATGTAAATGAACATATTTGTATGTACTATGTAGTAGTTAGTATAATTTTTACTTTGTACAGAACTTATTCCTAGTTTAGCCCACCTACTATATAGTTACATGTGTTACATACATACATTAATGCCTGCATAACACGCAATAAAAGAAAGAAGAAGAAAAAACAAAAAAAATAATAATGATTCATAAGCATAGAAAAAATATCAAAAAACTGATAGGATATTGTAAAAATCGTTAAAAAAAAAACTATCGTATTTTTCTATGAAATCTCAAAACTCACCACACTTCATAAATACATACATATATATAGAAACACTATTAATATATAATAATGTAATAGAAAATGCTATTCATGTATAGAAATAATATTTTATATATATTTTTCAATACTCTTGAGACATACATACATACATACCTATGTCCCTAAAGCCAACACACTGGTACCTTCATGTCGCGTATATACATAGTGGTTGAAATAAAGAAAATGTATGTACTATACATATAAATTTTAAGGAAAATTACGGTTTTCGTTTACAAACCAACAATCATGCATACATATGTACATGTATATGTACACAAGAGCGTAAGCAAACTTAAGTCTTTTATAACGTAAAAATTTCAAGAAAAAATAATTGTACAGACGAGAGAGAGTAAAAAACATCAACATTTCTACAGCTCTGATTCGAGCTGAAAATTATTTAAAAGTCTCCATTTTCTTACTCATTGACTCATTTCGACGATAAGAGTTATTCAAAAATATCTTTTTTTTTATACTTACTCCCCCGCTGAGCAGCAGAAAAAAAATTTTTACACCTATACATGCTTATATAAAACTACAATATGTATGTATGTACATTCGAAACCAAACGTAAAACTGTGTACCGTAGGTGAAAAACATGTTACTACTTATCTAGTTTAACGGTAAATAAATAAAAAAAAATTATGTTATGAGAGAAAATATACTTATTATAATTGCGATTGATTGTAATTAAAAAAAAAATTGCTGAAGATCATTACTAGCAAACTAATTAAAAAATTTAAATGGATCAAACTAAAAACAATTTAATTATTATAAACATAAAACAACTAAGTAATTAGTAATACAAGGTGACATGAAAAATACAAAAAAGTTACAAAAATATAGCTGAACTAATTGTAGTATGAATATGTTGAAGATCTTAAAAAATAGATATTAAAAAATAATAATAATTATGTTAACAAATAGTTAAAAGAAAAAATATGAAAGAGTACTAACTCAAGTTGAAGTAATTCTGGTACGAAATGAAGTAAAAAACAAACAAAAAAATAATAATAAAATTGAAACGAAATGGTTAGCTCATCATATAAGCTGTTGCATAATAAATACAAATGGAAATTTTTGGTATAAAGTGTTTATATAACGAATACTAATAAGAAAAGAATTATAATTATGAATTTGGCAGGCGAAAAGTTCCATAAAACTTTCCAATTTGTTTAGGCGTTAAATAAATATATTCTTTTTTATCTTCATTCTATTTTTTTATACTTTATTTTATTTTATTTTTTTATTTTTTTTTTTATTTTGTATTATTTTTTTCTTAATTAGCTTCATATTTTGATTTTATTATACTTTATTATATTATCGTTTTTTTTTAATTTTGTTTTATAGTATTTCATTTTATTTCTTCTATATAATTTTTTTCACTTTGTTTATTTATTTTATTTTATGTTTTATTTTATTTTAAACTATTCTATTTGGTTGAACTTCATTTTATTTTAAATGATTTAATTATATTGTTTGTTATTTTATTTTAATGCGATTTATTTTATTTTGAATAAATAAATTTTAATTTTTTTTATTTTAATTCAATTTATTTTTTTGGTATATTTTATGTCATTTTGCTTTATTGGTTTTATTTCAGTTTCATCATACTTTATTTCATTTTAATTCACTTTGTTTAATAGTTCCCTTTATTTTTTTTAATGGCATTTTATTTTTAGTGATTTTATTTTAATTGGCCTAATTTTATTTAACTATAAACTATATTACCATATGGTTTTATTTGTTTCATATTTTATTTAAGATTATTTTATATTGTTTTATTATAATATATATTTTAAATTTCTCTACTTAATTTCATTTAATTTCACTTGATTTGATGTGTTTAATTCAATTCTATGTTATATTGTTTTATTTATTTATTAAATTTTACTGTAAGTTAACAAATAATAAATATGTTTTATTTATTTTAAATTAATTAATTTAATTTAAATTCATGTTATGTTTTCTTTTATTTTAAACTAATGAAATTTATTTTGTTTAATTTCACTTTTTTTCCTCAATTAAATTCTACAATAAGTTATTTTTTTATATTAAATTTTCTTGTAAGCTATTTCGTTTATTATTCGTTATATTTTTTTGAATTTAATTTCAACTAATGTTTTACTTTATTTACTTTTATTTAATTTTTTTATATTTCGGTTCATTTTGGTTTATATTTATGTATTTTGTTTTAAATTAATTTATTTTATTTAATTTTGCTTTTTTAATTTTATTTCACTTTATTTAATGTTATTCTCTTTTATTCAGTGTGTTTTATGTTTTTATTATATTTTATTTTCAACTACTTCATGTTTTATTTAAAATTATTTTATTTAGTTTAATTTTCTTATATATTTTGTTTTATTTTATTTCATTTCATTTTAGTTTATTTTGTCAATATTATTTTATTTTATATTATCATATGTCATTATGAATGTCATTTGATTTGACTTTGTTTCAATTTTATTTTTATTAAAAAATTCATTTTATTATTCTTACTGTATTTTATTCTCGTTTATGCTCAATATCTTTAGTAATAAAACCTAATACGAAAATATTAAAAATTAGATAAAGAAGTAAAAATTAGTTAAAACCAAAAGTATTGAATACAATGAATCGTGAAATTAAATTAGTTTATGAAACGAAATTCTATTGAAAACTGAAATTGTTATTAGCGAAAAAAATATGTTAGTTAAATGTTATAAGAAATAACATAATTAAAAAAATAAATAAATGTAACAATAAAAACTTAAAAAAAAAAAAACAAAAAATGATGTAAACGTGAGTTTATGTAAATGTTAGCGCTGTAAACTTAAGTAAGAAAACAAAGGGTAATATTAATAAATTAATGAAAGAAATTGTGAAAAAATAAAGAATTATTACTTACATATATTGTAAAAATTGAGGTTTGCTGTATTTGTTTTATTTTTGCATATTATGTTTTTTGATCGCAAAGGTAAGCCGATTAGAATGTTAATGTGCGAGTTGAATTTTAATTGTGTGAGGGTTACTTGCATTGAAGTATATATATATATTATAAACTACCCAAATAGCCTAAAAAATTTGTTGGGAACAAGTAGATCGACTGTGTTATATGCAAATTTCTCGTAACCATTTTGTAACCTTAAAATAATCTGTTTGGAATACGTACCGCAGCACACAGACCTGAAGTGTTGGTGTGATCTAACGAAGTTTTACCTGACACTCTTTGACAAATAATTTAAGGAATCCATACGAGCCCCAAATTCAAAAGCATACACAAGTTCTTATTACATTCATTATTTATTAAAACTACATTTAGCTGATAAATAGAACATTGAAATGAGTTGGTTACTGACTTATATGTAGGAATTATCAATTATATGCTTTAGTTATATATACGATATATCTATGCATATTTAGTATCTATATTTTGTGGAGTAATCCTTTGGTGATACGACTAGACCCCGGCCTTTCCGTGCTCCCCTGTACACGGTTTCAACGATGTCGATCATTTCCTGCTTATCCTCAAGAGGCCAATTAATTTTGTTGTTATTACCAGTGCCCAAATCGATCATAATATGTTTATTGCGGAAGAAAAACATCACTGTGCAGGGATCGTATAATTCGTACATTTTATTAAAATCGGGCACTTCAGTAATATCCACCAAATAGATGACAGCGAAATTCTTCACTTTCTCTGCAATGCTATACATAACTTCATCCATTTTCATGCATGCTGGATCCCAATCGTGACCGAAACGTATGACCTGGAATATATTAAGTGCATTTTATGAGGGGAAGGGGAAATATAGGACTTGGCAACTTACCACGACGCGATCTTCCTCGTTTGTTATGGCTTGATCCACCTGCCAGCCATTGTGTAAATGCGGTAGCATATAAGACATTTTGCTATTTTATTTATTTACTTATTTGTCGTGTACCAAAATATTCTAAATTTGTGTGATATTTAAGGCTTCTGAGATTAATTATTAATTACGAATATAATGCCCAAGAACGTTTACAAATGTTTTACTGGTTACAGCTGTTTGCGGAATGTCATCCAACTTCGAAATTCGAATATGCCTCTTCAAAGTGCTGCCAGCTCTTTGGACAAGCAGCTTGGAAGCCACCATCATGTTTCTGTTAACGAAAATCTTTTTTTGTCTAGCTGTACCGATATGGTAAAATAAGGTGGGTAAAATTTACTGTGGTGTGCAAATATATTACAACTTGTTGTACACAAACAAAATAAAAACTCGTTAGAAAGTAGCATATATTTTTGCGCACTAGTAAAAAATGAATATAATACAAAGAAACTACTTTTTTAACTAAAGATGATATTGTTGGAAGTAGAACCAATGCATTCCATTAAAGGTTTCCTGTTAATTCATAGTTTCATGCAATGAGCTAGTCGGAAAAATTTAGGAATACATTCTAGCACGTTCACAAAAATTGTCCAATTAATGCCCACAAAACATAATGGATGGTGATGCAATATGATTTTATTTGCTTTTGATATTGTGTGGCAATTGGCTGAATTTGTGGTTATGTTGTGCTCTTCATAGTGTATGATGCTTTTGTGATATGGGAATTATTTCAATTCTTATTTATCTTGCTTAACCAAATGAACCGTTAGAGAATAATTTATAATGTATAAGTATTTGAAATAAGCAGAAATAGTTTTAAGACTCATATGTACAAAAACATTGTATGTACAGAATTTTGTTATGGTTAATATTCTTGTGTTACCCAAATTAAAACCCCCTTCTAATCATTACCGCAGCGGGTCTACGACGTGCGTTGCCAACTACGTGCACACACCATATAGCAGATGTCAATTTTTTGTTTTTTTTTTTTTAACCAGCTGCTGCCGGGAACACGTTGCAGTTAGGATTTTCGTTGGCGTTTTGTATTGGAAAGAATTTTTTTCAAATCTGATAAGCAATTAGCCAGAATTTATAAACAAAAACATGGCAAGTATTTTATATAAAAGTGAAAAATCATCAATAAGCTTTAAAAAGAAATACTACAATTTGTTGGGTTCGTCTGCAATGTGTACACAAGCTGATGCAATATCGCCAACTTTTCATATAGTGATTCATGTTTTATTCAATTGAATTTGATTTTAAATTTTTGTATAAAATTATAGGCTAATGTCGAAAGAAAGGGCACTTTCAAGGTGGAATACCTTCAACAAATTGAGCGTGATATGCAAAAGCGCTGGGAGAGTGAACATGTCCATGAAACGGATGCACCGTTAGAACCACGGGAAAGATTGGATGAAAAATTTTTTGTCACATTCCCATTTCCCTATATGAATGGTCGCCTACATTTAGGTCACACATTCTCACTGTCTAAAGCAGAATTCGCTATGCGTTATCATCGTTTAAAGGGGAGACGTGTACTATGGCCTTTTGGTTTCCATTGTACCGGCATGCCTATCAAAGCTTGCGCTGATAAATTAAAACGTGAACTGCAAGATTTTGGTTATCCACCAAAATTTCCTACTGAAGAGGCAACGGCTGTTGTCGAGGAGCCGCAACAAGGTGAAGTACCGAAAGATAAATCGAAGGGTAAGAAAAGCAAAGCTGTAGCCAAAACAGCTGCCGCCAAATATCAATGGCAGATTATGCAGAGCCTAGGATTGAAGGATGATGAAATTAAGAATTTCGCTGAAGCAGAGTATTGGTTGAACTATTTTCCGCCTTTAGCCATACAGGATCTGAAAAGTTTGGGCTTACATGTGAGTAATGTGTAACAAATAATATACATATACATATAATGTTAATAATTTTATTCATATGTGTATTTAGGTGGACTTCAGGCGCACATTTATTACAACCGATGCAAATCCCTTTTTCGATTCTTTTATACGCTGGCAGTTTTTGCATTTGAAAAATCGCGGTAAAGTAATGTATGGCAAACGTTACACTATTTACTCGCCCAAAGACGGCCAACCATGCATGGATCACGATCGTTCAACCGGTGAAGGTGTGGGACCACAAGAATATACATTGATTAAAATGAAGGTTCTCGAGAAACCGGCGAAATTGAGGTGCGATATTTATTTTAAGCTGTGTGAAAAATATATCTGAAAGTTTGACTATTTTAGTGCTGTCAACGCGCCCATTTATATGGTTGCTGCTACACTGCGTCCAGAAACTATGTACGGTCAGACGAATTGTTGGTTACATCCCGATATCAAATACATTGCCTGGCAAACTTCACGTTCCTCTGAGGTGTGGATTAGTACCCGACGCGCTGCACGCAATATGTCCTATCAAGGTTTTACTGCTGAGGAGGGCAAAGTTGTGGAAATTGCTGAATTGACAGGACAAGACTTATTAGGCACACCCCTGGCTGCGCCAATGACATCACATAAAGTCATCTACACCCTGCCAATGTTATCGATTAAAGAAGATAAGGGCACAGGCGTAGTAACATCTGTGCCTTCGGACTCTCCTGACGATTATGCTGCATTGGTAGATCTGCAGAAGAAGGAAGCTTTCCGTCAAAAGTATGGCATCAAGGATGAGATGGTTCTGCCATTTGAACCAGTGCCTATAATAGAAGTGCCCACGTTGGGTAAGACTTGTGCGGTATATGCCTATGAAAAGTTGAAGATACAATCACAAAACGACAAGGATAAGTTGGCTGAAGCGAAAGAGCTTTGCTACTTGAAAGGTATTTAAAAGTAACATATGTTTTGAAAGCAATACAATTTAAATATATTATTTAAAATTGATATATTTAAATTATGATATATTAATCAAAAAATTTAACTTCAGGTTTCTATGACGGCATTTTACTGGTTGGTGAATTCGCCGGTCGCAAAGTGCAGGATATTAAGAAAGATTTGCAGAAAAAACTGGTGGCTGCCAATGAAGCTGAGATTTACTACGAACCAGAGAAAACTATTATTTCACGTTCCGGTGATCAGTGTGTAGTTGCGTTGTGCAATCAATGGTACCTGAACTATGGCGAGCCCGAATGGCAAGCACAAGTGAAAAAGATGCTTAGCAATATGGAGGTGTACCACGAAGAGGCGCGTAATAACTTCGAAGCCTGTTTGAATTGGTTACACGAATACGCCTGCTCACGCACATATGGCTTGGGTACTAAACTGCCATGGGATCAACAGTGGCTCATTGAATCGCTGTCTGATTCCACAATTTACATGGCTTTCTACACAGTGGTGCATCTCTTGCAAGCTGGCTCCTTTAGAGGCGAAAAACCGAGTCCTTTGGGTATGAATCAAGCTAAAAGTTTTAGCTATTTTTTTCAGAACTTAACGTATATTGTACGCTTTAGGCATTACGGCAAAGGATATGATACCTGAAGTCTGGGATTACATATTCTTCAAAGACACACCATACACCAAAACGCTGCCCGTGAAGAAGGAGGCACTCGACGTGCTGCGTCGCGAATTTGAGTACTGGTATCCAATGGACTTGCGTGTGAGTGGTAAAGATTTGACTAACAACCATCTGACATTTATGTTGTATAACCATGCCGCTATTTGGCACAATGATGAAGGCAAGTGGCCTTTGGGCACACGTGTTAATGGCCATCTCTTGCTGAATTCTGCGAAAATGTCTAAGTCTGAAGGCAACTTCCTCACGCTCTACGAAGCTGTTGCGAAATTCTCAGCGGATGGCACACGTCTCTGCCTTGCAGATTCCGGCGATAGCGTTGAAGATGCCAACTTTGTTGTGAGCACAGCAGATGCTGGTATTCTCCGGCTATACACCTTTATTGAATGGGTGAAAGAGATGCTGGCATCCCGGACGCTATTGCGCAAGGGCGCTGCCAACACATTCAACGACAAAGTATTTATTAGTGAAATGAATCTGAAAACACGTGAAACTGATGAAAATTATCGTAAAATGTTGTTCAAAGAAGCGCTGCGTAGCGGTTTCTACGAGCTACAACTGGCGCGTGATAAATATCGTGAGCTGTGCGGCGCGCAGGGTATGCATGAAGAGTTAGTGCTCGAGTTCATACGCCGTCAAGCGCTGCTGGTGGCGCCAATTTGTCCACACGTCGCCGACTATGTATGGGGTCTGCTGGGCAATAAAGAATCCATTGTACATGCGCGTTGGCCCGAGGTTGGTGCAATCAATGAGATTGATATAAAATGCTCCGAGTATTTAATGGAGGCTGCGCATGCGTTCCGTCTTAATTTGAAGAATTTATTGCAAGTTAAGGGCAAGGGCGGCAAAGAGAAGGCAGTCGATCCGACCAGCGCGAAACCGAATAGCGCCTTGGTGTGGGTGGCGAAAACTTATCCGTCATGGCAATGCTGTGTGTTGGATACCATGCGAGAATTGTTTACGAAAGCTGGCAAGTTTCCCGAAAATAAAGTTATTGCGTCCACTTTGCAACAGAAGGAGGAGTTGAAGAAATTCATGAAGCGTGTCATGCCCTTCGCACAAATGATACGCGAGAAGGTGGAGACTGGTAAGGGCGTAGAGGCGCTCGCCATCAATTTGGAGTTCGACGAGCGTCAAGTGCTGCTCAACAATCTTGATTATCTGAAGAATACATTGGATGTAAGTGATTTTGGAAATTATTTTAAAAAAAAATTATTCTCTACTATTTTAAACGCGCTTTATGTAGGTTGACAACATTGAAATCAAATATACTGATGATCCTACTGCACCGGAAAAGACGCGTGAAGAAGTGCGTCCGGGCTCACCTTTCATAGTTTTCGCCATAGCACCGAATGTAACGGTGGAATTAGTCAATCCTATAGAGCGTTCTGGCTTATTTCAAGTGAACACTATTGTTTGCGAAGGCGAAACGGTGAAGCAGTTAACTGAGAAGCTTGCCAAGCTCATCAACTTCAAAGGTGAGTTTAAACATTGGTGAATGAATTTAAAAAAAAAACCGGTTTACTGCAAATTATGGCAAAATCATATGAATTTTAAAACCCAATAATTATTAAATACAATAATGAAAATATAAATTTTTAATTAAAAATATTATTTTTTAAACATTACTTAAACTGTAATTGTTTCAAAATATATATGGTAATTTTTTAAATAAAATTTAACTATTAAAGATATAAATTAAAAATGTGATAAAAAATAATTGAATTCTTGTTTAAAACTTTTATTTAAATAAATTGTAATTATTGTTAGATTTTAAAGTTTTATTTATTGATTTGAAATATTATTTAAAAAAAATTATAATTAATTAAGCTCTACTTTTTTTAAATTTTAGTTATTCAAAAAATACAATTAAAAAATATTAACTAAAATATTACATTTTCTAAATTGGAGTTATTCAATTTAAATATAATTCTTAAATATTTAAACTATTAATTAGAGCTACAAATAAATGTTCAAAACTTTAAATAATAAAAAAATTCATATTTTTTTAGAATTCTGACTAAATTAAAAATTATATTTAAAGAAAAAAATTAATAATTTAAATTAGTAATATAACTATTTTTTTTTTTAATATTTATTAATAATTAGAGATACATTTTTCTAAAAACTTAATTACTTTTTAATTTTAATTAATAAAATAAAGCATGTTTTTTTAGAAATCTAATTAAATAAAAAAATTATTTTGAAAATATTAAAAAATTTAAATTTTGATAATATTAAATGTTAATTAAAGTCATTAACTTTCTAAATCATAATTATTAATTTGAAATGTAGTTTTTAAAATTTTTACTTAATAACACTACAAATGTATATTTAAATATTCAAATTTTGAATCAATAATTTGAAGTATAAATTTAAAAAATTTTAATGACTCAAATTAGTAATCTACCCTTTAAAATATATTTTTTTAAAATTTTTACTCCGTAATTAGAGCTGTATATACATTTTCTAGATCTTAATTCATAATTAATAATATAATATTATTTTCAAAAATATCATATAAACAAATTAGTTAAAAAGGTTTTTAAAATTTTTATTAATAATTAGAGTTACATTTTTCCAAAATCTTAATTAATTTTTATTTATTAATTAGTGTTACAGATAAATTTTCAAAATTTTAATTAATAAAATAAAGCACGATTTTTTAGAAATCTAATTAAATCAAAAAAAAAAAAATATTTTAAAAATATTAAAAATTTAATAGAAATTAATTTAAAAAAGTCTACTTAGTAATACTACATATAAATTTTCAAAATTTTAAGCATTCATTTGGAGTTTAAGAATTTTAGTTATTAATTATAAATTTCCTTATTTTTGAATAATATGTTGTATATTTTTTAAAAGATTTTAGTTATTAATTTGATAATTAATTTTAATTATTAATTAATATAATTTTTAAAAGTAGTAATTATCAATTTAAATCAGTATTTAAAATATTAATTTTTAACAACTTATACCCTTATTAAAAATAAAATGTAACTAATTTTTCATTTGAACTATTATTTAAGAAACCATTAAGTTTGACAATTAAATTTAAAAATTTCAATAATAGAATGTATAGAAATATTTTATTATTTAATAATGGATTAAGAGCATAAATTAATAATGAATTCTAAAAATTTAATTAATTTAAAAAATAAATTGAAAATTTGTTTGAAACAATTTATCTTAAGTTATAAAATTTGTTAAAATTTTTTTATCAATAATATAATTTTTAAATACACTAATATAAATTATAATTTTTTTTTTAAATCTGAACAATTAAAAAAATATATATATATATTTTAAAATTAATTATTATTTAAAAATATTAATGTTTTTGCATTTTTTCCTTTACGCCTTCCAGCGGACTTATCAACACTGAAAATTTGGCGTTATAACGATCCCGTGCTTGGGCCACGTCAACTTCCAGAATTTCAAGATTACCAAAAGGGCAAAACTCCACTCAGTGAGGGCACATTTGTATTGGATGTAGAAAAGAAACAAGTCTCCGTGAAGGTGGAGGACAAAATCGTCGAAGTTGGACGCCATTTAATCTATGTGGTGGACTAGTTTCACCATATTGTAGAACACAAAACAAAAGTGCGTTAATTTATAAAATGTATTTCTTCTATACTTCTACATACTACGTTTTTATATAAACCGAATTGTGGTGGAAGAAAAATTGATTTCAATACAACTAATTGCTGTTCATAAATTAGATATATAAAACCGTGTAAGATTTTGAATTTGCGCTAATTAAATATTAAGCTGTTACAGCTACAAAACTAAACCAATAAAGTATAATAATATTTGAGCATGCAAAGGAGAAGAGGGATTGTGGTAAAGTGGCCTCGAACCTTTAGTAGAGCATGTTAATATTTTTTTTATTTTTCTTTCAATTAATTACTTAGTTTATTGCCTACGAGCATGTACATAAAAGTAATTATAAACAAATATTTATTTTAAATATTAATTTAATTTATAACTAATTTCAAACTGTTGACTTTTGACGCTCATTGCAAATTTCTTATCAAACTCACTTATTTAAACTAAATAGTTAGATTATCTACGGCTTTAATGGTTTGTAAACAGAGTCCGTATGCTTCTCGGTCATTTTTCGAGTGGCGCATCGCGCGAAGTCATAAAGTCTACGAATGTGTACCTTGTCTGCATTATTGGCCCCAATTCTATATGCAACATTAGCGCCGCGGCTTCGATTAAACTATTTGTATCGAGTGGTGCTTGGAAAAATCATATCAAATTGTGCTATATTTTATGCCGCATATAAGCACACGCACATACATACAGTTCATGATAGCAGCTGGTGCTAGGCGCTACAAAACCATGGGTGGTCAAGATTAGAAGAGAAAAAAAAACGTTAGTCTTGGCAAGCATGAATGGGGTTTAGCTGTGCTTTAATGCTATATAAGGCGCACAGGTTTCTAACATATTGCATAGTTCGTCTTGAATTACCGTGGCGTACGTTGGAGTGGAATTTTGGAAAATCGGTTTTTGAATGCATGAAAATATGTTGCGAAAATTCACGAGCTGTATAGTGGCGGTCACCCTATTTGTGTTATGTGGATTCACAACAAATGTGCGAGCTGGAGGTGTGTTGGTATTAAAAAAAAAAAAAAACAAATAAAAATAACGGTAACGGGGTGAAAAACTATTTTCATTATTTAAAATATAGAAAATCAGGATCCACTTTGATCTCTCCAACAGTGTGGGACACATCCGCTGTTTATACCAATGGACAGGTTTGAAAAACTTCCAAGGCTGGATTGTTCCATCAGTATCACGCGACAGAGATAGTACGTCCTTCCGGATGTTTCGGGGAAGGTGGTTCAGCCATCGTTCCATTGTCTGCGGTGTCTGTTCGTTGTTTGTTCACAGTAAACACAAGTTAATGTTGTTGTTGTTGTAACCGCAAAATTATTCCCCAAAATACTTTTTGGGGAATGTTGCGGGAGTGACAGTCCTTGGCCGGATAAAAATCCGGGTCGTTCCGGTATAAAGACCCGACTGTCGCGGGAACTATTGGATTTTAGTCGCCTCTTACGACAGGCATGCCTTACCGCGGGTAAATTCTTGAGCCCCTATCCCGCAGAGGGTTTCGTTTCCTCCAGCAGTCGCAATATAGAGAAACTCTTTCTCTGAACCTCGATCAGTAGCGAATGGCAGAAGACTCCCTTTCTAAAAGAACTTCTGGTGTTGCCCAATGTCAGTTTATTCCACCATATCAGTTTTGCGAGAATAACAAGTTCAGATATTGCAGTCGAAAGTGACTTTTGATTCCACGAACAAATCTGAAGCTGAACTCATAAGGTCAGATCGATTAATTGATGTGTGATGTCAAAAGGTTTGAGATCCCAAAAACTCATAGAACTTCCCTTGTTTTCCGCGATCCATCTTAAATCGGATTGATCTTGCAACCGGACACATTTTCATTGAGCTGGTTTGAGGCTCACATGTTCAGACGCAAACTGAAATTGGTTGTTTTAATGGCGGACAATAACGAGATGGTGGGTACTTATTGCAGTAAGCTCATGCGCTTAAGAGTGCCCAGTAATTTCGTCACTATTCGATTTATTTATGATTACCACAGACAGAATGTAAGTCCGCGTTGGACCTACATATTTTAGCTGTTTATGGGCTATGGGTTCGCAGAGCCAGAGGACTCCGCCCTACATTAACCACTAGTAAGGAGTATGGTGATTAGAGCTTAAGTGAGCTTAAAAAAGCCATGGAAATTTAGTGAGTTAAAACTCCGAACTTAGTAGAGCCATTGTTTATGGTCTCAAAAAATAATGCACGTTGAAAGTAGACCGGCGATGATCGGAGATTTCGTAATTATATTACAAACTCTTAACTATCTCATGAAAGGTTGTCCATTGCAGTACAAAAATAGGGTATACCGGTCCAGCTTGTTATGCCAATTTTTTTTTTCAAAAACCTAAGAGCATTATTTCATTCCGTACACGTTCATCTCTAGACATTCCAGAATTTCTAATCTCAAGCTTGTAATTTTTCTCATACTCCAGCTTGCATTGTTCCGCAACCCTTAAAGGGACAAGAAATGCATGTACTACGAGTGGATGAGGACGCTTTACCTTCCGTTATAGTGCTACCCCGACCGCGCCTGGACGGACGCATCGTCGGTGGCTACAAGGTGAACATTACCGATGCGCCGCATCAGATTTCGCTGCAAACGAGTGGAGGACATATTTGTGGAGGCTCAATTATAGCGGTAAGTTGTTGTTGTATGATAAGAATGTCTAAATTCTCCGTAACCTATAAAAAAAACTTTAAAGTCCGCTTTAAACTTTCGTTTACTCTCTTCTTAGAATCGCTGGGTGCTTACTGCCGCTCACTGCACTGCGTAAGTATTATATGGAGAATCTTTATTTTGCAACTTGCTTTTTCTAAACATGCTCTCTCTCTCCCTCTTTTATACTCCTAAAATTCAGCGGCAAAACTGCCGAGAAATTAAAAGTGCGCATTGGTTCCTCACAGGAATCTACCGGTGGACAATTGTTACGCGTCAAGGAGATCGTACAACATGAGAAGTTCAATTACTCAAATGTCGACTATGATTTCTCGCTACTACACCTCGATAAGGAAATACAATATTCGGATAACAAGAAAGCGATTAAATTGCCCGAGGAAGAGGATCAATTTATGGACGGCGATATTTGTTACGTCACCGGTTGGGGTAATACACAAAATGCCAGCGAATCACGTCAGTGGTTGCGTCAAGCCGAAGTGCCACTCTTCAATCATGAACTCTGCTCGGAGAAATATAAACAATTCGGTGGTGTCACAGAGCGTATGGTTTGTGCTGGTTATATGGAGGGTGGCAAGGATGCCTGTCAGGGGGACTCAGGCGGTCCGCTGGTCAGTAAGGATGGTGTGTTAGTGGGTGTTGTGTCTTGGGGTTATGGTTGTGCCAAACCTGAATATCCTGGCGTGTACTCGCGTGTGCAATATGCACGCGATTGGGTGCGGAAGCATAGTGGAGTGTAGTGGGATTCCTTTATTTAACGAGTGTGTCGAATGTTTAAAATAAATAAATTTGTAAATGAAAATGTTGAAATATACTGCCTTTTTTCAATACGCGAAAAAAACAAAAAATATTTATTAAAAATTTACGATTATAGCCGAATTAATAATAGTGCGCCACTCATTTCCTTTTCTCGCTAATCTTTCCAACGGGTGGAGGTCTTCCTCTTCCCCTACCGAACGGTTTTCTACAAGAATTACACTTCTGCTCTCTGAGAGTCTTCATCAGCAACTCGATTTCTCGAGAATTCAAGAAGCAAGCAATACATATATGCAGGCCAAAAAAAAAAAAAACAGAAAGAGGGCGGAGATGCGTAAGTAAGAAGAACTTGAGAAGCTGGCGGACAGGGCTTGAAAATTTTACGATAATGTGCAATGAGTTACGAAAGATTTCAAGATCGGAGCAAACTTTTGTAGCGCCCAGAGAGGTGATATGGTGACTGACACCCAGAGTATACTAAATTTTTGGAGGAAGTACGTCACTAGTTTGCTTAATGGTAGTGAAAATGGAATACCAGGAGATGACGAATCCGTTTTTCTTATCGATGGGGTTGACGTTACGCGACTATGATGAGGTTCGAAAACCGATTGCCCATTTAAAGTACAACAAAGCGGCTAGAGCTGACGGCCTACTGGCGGAGTAATTCAAAGAGCTTAAGGTTCTTTGCAGAATATGGTCGGGTGAAAGCTTGTCCGACGATTGAGACCTAAGTATGCTCTGCCCGATCAACAAAAACAGGTACCCCATAGCCTGGGAACATTACCTTGGGATAAGCCTCCTCCACATCGCCTATAAGTTCCTATCGAGCGTATTGTGTGAAAGACTAAAGCCCAATAACTGCCTTTAGATCTGGTAAATCCACAAATGACCAGTTATTCATCATGCGCCAATTCTTGGAAAATCCCTGTGAAAAGGCTAACGTCACACACTGCCTTTCGTCGATTTTAAAGCAACTTTCGCTAGCACAAAGAGAAGCTGCTTCTATGCCGCTATGCCTGAACTCGATGTCGCTACAAAATTAATACGGTTAGGTAAACTTATGCTGAGTAGCACCAAAAGCTGCGTCGGAATTGGTAAAGACTTATCCGAACCATACAATACCAAACGCCTTGATTCGTTATGGTATGGTTTCTTTAATTTTTTTTGCTTAAGAAAACAATACAAGCTGCAGAGCTGAATAGTGAATAGCGAAGAAAGCAAAGGACATGGATCGGTTAGTGAACGAAGGAAAGACCAAATACCTCCTGTCATCAAACAAATAACCTGTGCACTTACGGTTTGGCTCCCATCTATTAAGTCGGATGCACTTAGGCTTGACTAAGATCCATTTCACCAATGAACCTCATTAGGTTCATGACTTTAAAGTCAACTATCGCCGTTATACCATCAAGCTGTAGGGTCCCAAAATTACGAAATCTCGCTCTGCTCAAAGCAGGACAGTTGCTCAAGAGGTGGGTGATCGTTTCCTCCTCTTCATCCTCCTTGCAGCTTCTGCAGAACCTTCTATAAGAAGCTCACACTCTTTCCGCGTGTCGTCCTATCAGACATTGACCTGTCAGAACTCCCTTTGCTTGGGACATGTCACCTCTTTTTAAGGAGTACATACCTCTTGATTTCTTCTTATACCATTTCGGCCATGTATGATTCGTTTGGCGTTTGGTTGTAATGTCATTCCTCCTTGTAGCGGCATATTCATATATAAATTCTTTGAGAAGCTATCGGGAAGAATCTGCTTGGTCGTACCTCGCCTAGCAGGTTCATCCGCATTGCAGTTTCCCTCTACGTCCCTGTGACCCACGTGAGAGGCAGTTTGTTCTGTTTGGCCATCTACTGTAGAGATCGGCAACAGTTCAGCACTAATTTCTAGTTTAGCGTAAGCGAGCTTAGTGATTTTATTGCAGCCTGACTGTCGTTGAAAATGAAGATATTCTTATCCTTAAAGCTGGCTCCAATTCGCTTTGCAGCCTCCATAAGACCAGATAGCTCCGCCTGAAAACTCTGCAATGGTCAGGTAGCCTGAATGAGAGTTCCATCGGAGGGATTTCTGAGAATGCTATCTCTTGGAGTATTGTCTAATTACTCTTCCCTGCTGGGAATTCGAATTGGAAAGTGGTTATCTGTTAATACTATTGGGCCACGTCCATCAGCATAACTTGGTATTAAGTCGTGCTTAGCCAGTAGTGTCGAGTGTTCCCATGGCTAAGCAGTCCAATGATTTGACTCCTTTAGACGAAGTGCCGTCATTGCTGCTAACTGATATACCACCAGTCCAGTGACAATGTTGAGTATTACATTCAAAGTTTACTACGCGTGCTTCTTAGTGCACCACTCATACACATTAGCGCACTTCTTTGAACCTTTCTACCAGTCCCTCATCACTCCCGTTGTGCATGGACGATGCCAACATTTCAGGAGTTGGTTTTGGGGGTTTCCGAGAGACAACTTGGTATTTCCTATTGGCGCCACATAGCGAAAAGAAGCATAAACATAACTTGCCTACACGTATATTCACGCAAGTGGTGTCTACGCTAGTAAAGAAGAATAAAATGTTGCTGTATTGAATACCAATGTCAAGATTTGTATGAAAATATTTGAGAATCTATGGCAAAAGGGAGAAAAGTGTAGAATAAAAATCAATCATAGAAAGAAAAAAATTTTGTTAGATAATTAGTCAGCTTATTAATTTTTATTTGTTCAAGGCAATGATGTCGCGATAAGCAACAATAAATTTGCACAGTCACTACTACCTAATGATCAAAGTAAATTAATTATTTATTGGGAATTTGTATTGTTATTTTTCAGTTTTTTTTAATGGAAAATACATACATTTGTTTACCTATTAAAAAAAATTGTTAAAAAAAATTCCTTTATTATAAATTAGATGCATTTGTAGCGATTTGCATTTAGCGGAACTCGGAGAATTTGATTTTCATCTTTTACTAGAGCTTTTCCGAGACTTGTACACTTGGAATTTGAATAAGATTTTTATTGCGTTTTTACGTAATTTATTTTATTAGAAGAAATAAATTAAAGTATTTAAACTTTTGAACAAGAAATAAAGTTTTCCCACATATTAGCCTAGACAAAGAGCTATCTATTTTTCAAATATCAATATAATATAATAATAATAATACCCATGAAATATTACGATTTTTTTTAAGAGAACGGTCGCAGAGATACTTGCCGGAAGAAAAAATTGTCCCCATAATAATTTAGGCAAAAAGAAAATTTCATATAAAACGAACGATATAAAAATAAAATAGATTTTTTCGAATAGATCGGCTCAAGTCCTTTGTTATCGGATAACTTCGTCAATACAACCAGAATATAACCTCCAAGTTTGAGATATCTACAATGAGTGAGTTCGGTTGTGGGCTGATGCCTTAATCATTCACCACATAGGCTTTGAGGGGAGCAATCGCCCAGAACCGCAAAGCTTTGGCCAACACGAGGGAAAATGTGTTTCATTAGGACAACGCCAGATCACATCTCGTGATTACCCTCTCTTTCTGGCTACGTCGAATGATATGCCTGGTGTAGAATTGGCCTCAAAAGAACCACTGAAAGTAGAGTGTTCCAATTTTTATTAATAGGGATAAGGGTCTGACTCTTATATCAGCTACGATTTTAGATCGGGTGAAGTAAACTGGCATCATTACTTTTGCTGCTGATTTTTTTGCTTAGATTTTGATGCTCCATACCATAGACTGCTGTTTGGTTTCTGGATCGCACTTATAGAACCACGAATCCTCAGATATCTTGCGTTTTCTCATCTCCATTTTAGCCAATCATTCTAGAATTTAAAAGGAAGACTAATAAAGTAATTGCAAATTATTTGGTATTTTTAGATTTAACAAAAATAAATAAGTTAATGCCCATTTTCTAGGTGATCTCTCAGTCGACTTTCCTGTTTTCATAATTTTCAACTAAAAATAACAGATACATTATTGATCGGGTTTTAATTAATCAGATCTGTGATTAATTAAATAAATAAATTAAATAAATAAATCACTGAACACATTTACGTTATTTTAGATGTGTAACATCGTCCGCATCGACTATACGCAAAGCCAAATTTTTGAGTGCTCCAAAGTAAGGTGAAAGCAGTAGAAAGGAGGGTAAAGCGCTTAAGTGCCTACATAAAAAATGCCACATGGTTTAAATGAACTTGCGCAAAAATATTTATTTACATACACGTACACACAAACCTAGTGTGAATAAAATGTTCACAAATTCAATAGCGGAGAATCTTTTACTATTCTTTTCCCCCTTTTATGTATGTATGTATGTGCATATGTACGAATGTACAAAATGTTTAATCGAAGTAGGCGAATAACAAGACAAAACAAACGATATTAAAAATATAAACAAACAGTTTAGCTTGCAGAAAAAGCTAACAAAATAATAAAAGAAAAAACAGACAACGAGAAGGTCAAAACAAAAACAAAAGCTAGCTGAAGGTAGACTGACTGCAGTCAGCGTTTGGCGGGGTGCTAAAAGCTCAGATGTGATAGGAAAATGACAATGTAAGCAATTCATATAATAGAATAAGTAGTATAAAAGCAAACACATATGTATATCTACGTAAGCATTCGTGACAAAATATACATCTGAAGCAAATGTTAACGTAACAAAAAATGAGGATTGAATAAATCTAATAGATATTTCTGAGATAAGTGATTTAATCAGTTCCATATGCCTAGTACTTACTGCAGTTCCGAAAATACATAAAGTGAGATAAACGGGGGGTAGGTGATTTAAAAATCTCTTTAAATTATTTTTAATAATAATTTATTAAAAATTTACGAAAATTTAGATTTTTTTAGATTTAATATAAATATGCCCATTAGTGTCACGATCATTAGGCCACATGGGGATCAAGTTTTGAAAATCCCGACTTTATACGCATAAAGCTCGATGATAAATCTCTCATCATAAAACATCCGCGGTATTAATTCGTGAGCAAAGATCGTTTAGAATATTTACTCATATGTGTAAATCTATTACATAAACATTCAAATCGAAATACTTGTAGCCCTGCATTAAGCTCAATGATAATAAAAATTCCATAACTTATACATAGAATTTTTATTTCATTTATGTACAAACTTACACCTGTATGTACAGGAGTATTTACGACACTTTAACTGACCATCCTCACACCTGTGGTAAGACACTTTAACAATTTGCTTGCCTTGCACGTTAACTAAGCAACGGTAACAATATCGACTGCTCCATTGCTGCAGAGCTGCAATCAATGTCAAACGTCTCTTACGTTTGCAAAGTTGTTTGATTCTAATAAATAGCTAATAGTATGAGTATATATATTTAAATCAATGTAAGAACCCTGTAGTGCGTGTTCAGCTGTTGATAAAAAACACTAGTTTACTACTAGATTTTCATGACGGAAATTATACTAGTCCGAAATATACCACACTGGTGACAAATTTCTTGAGTTTTATATCACTTTGTTTATTTTATTTGTAATATATTTTTTTGCTATATTTTATTTTATATTTTTAATTTTCTTTTGTGTTATTTTATTTTATGTTCAAAATTTATTATAAATATTTCTTTTTTTCTTATTTAACTCTTTTTTATTTTATGATATTTTTTAAAACTATTTTATTTTATTTGGATAATTTTTTATACGTTGTATCATTTTATTTGAATTTATTTTCTTTTAATTTATTTTATTTTGTTTTATATCCCTTATTATTTTATGCTAATTCATTTCATTTTATTTAATATTATGTTACTTTATTTTTTATGTTCTTTTATTTTATTTTAATTTATTTTCTTTAATTTTATTTTATATTACTTATTACTTAATATGACTTCATTTCATTTAATTTAATCTTATTTTATATTATGTTACTTTATTCTTTTTTTTTAATTCGATTGATTTTATTTAAAATCAATTTATTTTGCTTTATTTTATTTCATTTCTTTTTTTTTATTTTATATTACTTTCTTTCTATTTTATTTTATTTTATTTTATTTTATTTTTTTAATTTATTTTACTTGATTGTGTTTCATTTTACTTTGTTTCACTTTATTTTTATCAAATTTTGTTTATTTTATTTTATTTTATTTTATTTTATTTTATTTTATTTTATTTTATTTTATTTTATTTTATTTTATTTTATTTTATTTTATTTTATATTCTTCCGTTCTATTTAATTTTGCTTTTTCAACTTAATTTAACTTTATTGCTTTAACCTTGTTTTTTTTATTGCAATTTACCATTTTTAATTTTTATTTTAATTTAATTTAATGTAGTATAGTTTAATTTTTAATTTCTTTTATTTTTTGATATAAATTTTATTTTAGTTTATTTTATTTTAGTTTATTTTATTTTAACTTATTTTTTTTTATTCTATTTTCTTTTGCATAATTTTATTTATTTTTTTGTTTATTTAATTTAGTTTTATTTTATTTTATTGCATACTATTTTATTTAATTTTTTATCAAATTCAGAAACAAGTATTATTTTTTTTTATTTATTTTTTAAGTTTTTACTTTTAACTACATGAACTATTTTTTTATATTATTTAATTTAATTTTATATTTTCTGATTATGTTTTTTTCGTCCACACCAATTGCTTATGTGAAAAAGCGAACTTGACAAAGTTTTTCTTCGCAACCATTTCGTGCGACTACAGGGAAATTGAACTTTCACACTCATATGCACCCCGGGGGTGTGGGCAAAATAAGAGAGATCTTGTCGCAGCGATTGTACTCGTAATGAAAGAAACTAAACAATGAATATGGTTATTATTTGTTATAATTGCCGTTACTGCTGTTTGCACTGTTGCTGCTGTTCGCTTTTACTGTATTTGTTTACTAAGCCAACCTAACGTGCGCACGTTTCAGGTACACGTGAGCCGAGCAGGCGCACAGCCACCTCCGTAGAACGTTTTCCATAACGTGCCGCAAGTTGAAATGGGATAGAAAATCAAACCAACATTGCTCGGCATAATTGATTGTTTGTAGTGTGTTTAGTAGCCGGTAAAAAAGCTCACATGCCTCATAATTGCAGGGGTGTGTGTGATTGTGTGTGTCACGTAAACGCAGTAGTGAAAGAAGCTTTCCACTGCACGAAGCCGTCCGCTATCGTTGTCTGTCTTTTTCACTTTGGCTCATGTAATTGCATGTGAGTTGGGCATCGTAATGCAAATTTGCAATGCTGCCGCGACTCTCAACGCAGCGCCAATAACTCACTAGAACGCGAACTATCGCCGTGGACGGATGTGCAAACGCGCAAAAGTCGTAAAATAATAAAATATTTTACAAAGAATATAAAGTAAATAAAAGTGAGAATATCATACAAACATAAATCCAAAAACAACCAAGAAAAGAATTTTTCAACTCACAAATTCAAAGAAATTTGGAAACGGAAATCGAAATTTGAAAAGCCGATTTTCGAGAAACTGTGATACGAAAGTAGAATCGGTATCAGACGAGTACATTCTTGCGTAAGTGTTGATGAGTTGGCGGTGGTGAAGGCGACGGTAGTGGCGAGTAGCGAGCAGTGAGTGTGTACCTTTCGCGGATGTATTGCTTTTTGGATGATTGACTTTGTGAGAGCTTAGAAGGAGGAAATGCATAAATCATGTGGAAATATTTGCAATATGTCTGTGTGTTGGCGAAAAGTAGCAAGAAAAAAAATTTAAATAAATAAATAAAAATTTAAAAAAATATCTAAAATAAACTACAATAAAAAAAGTGCCAAGAACAGTTTTTCTTTACGTAAAGCTCATATGCGTCATCTGAGCAATTTTATATAAGCTCAGCTTGAAATAGCTAACCGAGCGCACACTAAACTGTAAAACGAATTATAAAGCTTTGAAATAAATCAATTATAAAATAATTAAGTGTTTTGAGGAGAATTAAAGAAAGCAAATTGTATGAAAAATAAAAGTAATAAGAAAATGTTATTAACTATACTTTTTGACAAAATCTGAATGCGTTTCAGATAAAATAAAAAAATTCCTTTTTTTTAAATTACTAGAATTAAGTTGATTAGAATTTGTGGCATAATGGGAAACACTTAAGGCCCAATGTATGTACCGTGGATTTAGATGAAACCTGGATTATTGCTGATTTGGAATAAATTTGAATTACTATCCAATTCATTCATCGCTCGAAACACATTCTTGAAAAATGCAGTTGAGTTGATATATACATATATACATAGGCCTTTAGTAACGGCCGAAGCGATATTTCGTCCGAACTCCTCCTCCTATTTGTGTTTTTTCGTCTTGATGTGTTACCATCAAATGGAGGGACCTACAGTTTATACTAAGCCGCCTCGTAAGGTTTTTTACATGGAGCCTGAAATCGTCCGGAAATACACTCGGAGGGGCTGTTATTCCCTGCCGAGTGTCAACGGCATTTAGAAAATTCAACTTAATTTTTTATTTGTCTTAATTTTCCGAATCTTTTGGTTGTTGGTAGCACCGGGATATGAACCCGAGCGTTCCGAATGTCAGTATGCAATACAAATCACTCGGCTACCGCGGCCGCCAGCTAAGGCATGTGGGGTAAACAAATATAAATAAAAAAATATTTTTTACGTTCTCTAAAAGGTATAATATCGTAAAAATTTGAAGTCAATCCGAAAAATATTTTTCGTTTTATTCGAAAAGTGAGAATGGGTGAAATGGCAATTGAGTGTAAAATTTAATTGCGTTTTTCTCAAAACTAATTTTTTTGAACTGCTGAGCACTACAACTAGTAAAATATACGCAGCATTCGTAGAATCTGAAAAATTAGAAGAATTTTTATTTGTTTTTTAATTTTGACTTTTTAAAAATAACTAAGTATTGGGGTTTCCAGAAAATCTGAAGAAAAATTATACAAATAAATGAGGCCGACATTTTGTTAAATTATTTTGCAAGAAATGCTTCAGTATATATATAACTTAATTAAATCATAAAACCATCGATCCGCAATATGATTTTCAGAATAGTTTTTTAAGGACTTGTGTTTTCCGTTAAAGAAATTTAATCACACAAACACCAACGGTTGAATATCAGGGTTTCAAACTATTTTCTGATCTTAAGGTCATCTTATTCTTTTTTTTCAACTTCACAATTGTCAATATTTTAAAATCTTTTTTATGAATGGAATAGAATAGAAAAATACTGAGCTTTAATAACATAATAATATTTTAGAGCATTTATATAACGGTTGTTTGAAAAAATTTAAATTAATTTATTGAATTTTTGAATTATAATGTCGATATTAGAAAAGCAAATTTGGCGATTTTTTGTAAAAAAAAATTTTGATAGGAAACGTGCCAAAGACTACTTTTTTTTTGAAAACCAACTGCTTTGTGAAAGAAAAGTGATATAGAAAATTTTATCGCGTAAAATGTACAATACTTAAAATTGAGTGCACTGTGCTTTTCACTACCTACCATCGCCGATACCGTACAAACTTGCGAACAACAATGCAACACTGTTAATAAGTGCTTTGATAATTTACTCGTACGCAAATAACTACCAACGTATGAACATCTAGTAATCAACAATTTATTTTTCTATTTTGTCGTTGAATAGAGTTTCATAGCTGAATGTACTCTGACTATTGCTTTAAAGCTTTAAAAAAAAAACAATTCATACAAAACTTGTGCAAAAATTTGAAACAATTTCATTAACATTGGATAAGTCCACAGTGTGCTAAAAGCTACAAAGGTGAGTTGAAACTTAGTTAAATTTTGTTTTAATATTTTCCATACTTCACATATGCGTACATCCATACAATATACATATTTACTTCTTGATATGTTGGTAAAGAGGAGAATTTTTCGAAGTTTACCAATGCCAAACTATCTCAATATTGAGTTGAAGCTTAATCATAGATAAGAACTTTTTTATTATAAAGTAATATACTTTAGGCTCTACTACCTACATCAGTTTTTTCGGCTAGGTTCAATAAATTAGTATCCACTTCCAAATTGTACTAAAAACTACCTTTCATCTTTCCACAAAATCGTTTAAAGCTTAAAGCTTTCGTTCGTCAAATCATCGAATATTTTATAAAAGGAAACTAGTATTTTAATTGAAAATTTCAAACTAAGATAGCGTATAATAGAAGAATTTAATATGTGCTTAACTCCTTCGTTTATTATTATCTTCTCATCATCTATTGGGAATAGTGTACTACAGAAATGCTGAATTGCGCAAATGATTAAGTCTTGAATTGTTTTAGAAAAGTCTTAAATAAATTTTAAATTGTTTCTATACACATACATATGTATTTACATAGGTTATATATATGAACACTTTTGGCTCTGCAAAAATCATCTGAATTTCAAATTATTGAAATACAATATAAGGGAATTCGAAAACCATTCAATGAACGGGTGGTCGCTATTTTTGAAGTGTAAGACATGAAAACGGATGTATATAATGACATATATAGTTGAAGCTATGAATGAAATAAATAAACAATGTATGTACATAAATGTATTCGCAAAATTTGTAGAATATTTAATTGGAAATGTGCAAAACAATAAAAAATATAGGCAAAAACAAGCGACATTTGTTGACCCCTGCGGGAAAATGGGAATCCCTTTACTTTAAAAACATAAAATTGAAATTTAAATAGGCATTTTTTTTTTACTTTGCGATTTTTAAGTCGAAATGCCATATTTTGAAATTAGTTTTTCTTTCTTTTCACACATTTTACATACTTCAAACCATTCAACGAAATGTCCTAAAATTTCTTACCGGGAGTAGATGGAGTAGATTGCCATAAAATTTACAATTCTAATAGAATTGAGTGCGCATATACTGTAACACAGTAATATTCATTCTAATTTATTTATTTAAACTTACTTGCCTGTCAAAAAAAATTGAGAATAATTGAAAGTTTAATTTAAATGAATTAAAAGAAAATAAAATAAAATAAAATAAAATAAAATAAAATAAAATAAAATAAAATAAAATAAAATAAAATAAAATAAAATAAAATAAAATAAAATAAAATAAAATAACATCATTTCGATGGATAGAAGGAAGATCTCCTCTCCATTGAAAAGACCAAGTGCAGAAAAAAGGAATGAGTAGCGCGCTGTACTTAGCTCGGCTATAATCACAAAAGCGTCGTCTATGCATTCAAGAAGGAAACGAAGAGTTGAAATTCAAAAATGCATGTTCTTAGATGATTTTATATAAAATATATTAAATGTCTGAAAATTTCTAATCTGAAAATACTGTTGTACATAATTATTTATATTAAATAAAATATGGATGCAAAGATAATTGGTACATTGTGTTTATTACGAAAATTTTGTATACTTTTCAAGTACTTGTATTAAATTGTGCTTCTTCTGCACTTGTCAGTATGTAAATACATACATAAAATCCTTGCAACCATATGGCAATTTGATTTCCTATTTATTTTACATAATTTTCATGACTGTTGTAGGTTTTCACACACACTACACATATACTTACATTTTAATTTTTCCGACATTGATTGATGGGCGTGTTTTGTCCTACAGACAAATTAAACGGCGAAAACAAACTGCTTTTGACAGGTGGAAATGTGCCCATTTTTTGGGCGGGATTACCAAAGAAACACATGTTCACGCGTAAAAGAAATTCGGCACACGTTTACTACTCATATCATAAACAGACGTAGTGCAACACGTTTGGAAATACGTGAAAAAGGGGTGTGTCTGGCTATAACAGACAACGACAGAGGAACAGGATATTTCGAATTCGTATTGTTGTAATGAAAAAAATCGGAGTTTTTTTAATGCATTTGAAAAAAAATTTGAAAAATTAAAAAAAAAAATTTTGAAATTATAAAAAATATTTTTTTAAATACTTTAATGGGGTAATTATAAATATTTCGAAAATATATGCAGATATATGAAAGAATTAAGAAACTTCGAATAGATTTTTATAATTGCCTATCTATTCTAAGTATATGCCAAAATATATTCATGCATCTGCTTACATAAAACTATTTACAAACACACACATATATATGGACATAAATTCGTTTAAATGTGCAAAAATTTAATTGTTATCCACTTGTGTGCTACCTCATATCGAATTTCATGACTTTCGTTACATCTTTTCACATACCCGATGCCCACTCATAACTGCGATGAATTGTAGACCTTCTTCAGAAGCGTTCTTTTTTGAGAAAAGTTTAATGAGAGCATAATATGTATCTAATTACATTGCTAAGCATTTAAAATATGCATATTTACATACATACATTCGTTACGTCACCGTCATAAGTGCAATGAATTCCATAACGACGAAAACCTTTGTTAAAAGATAACATTGCTTAAATACTTTTTTGTAAAGGGTAAATATTTAAATTGAGTAAAATTAGCAAGCTCAAGCTTTTGTTTTTTGAAATTGAAACTTAAATTGCTCATAGCACGGTGCTGTACGTAATCGTATGCATTTTACATAATCCATTTTTCTTTCTCACCACATTCACTGTAAAATTTGTAAAACTTGCGAAATTTGTTCTTTCCATAACTTGCACAATAAAATTAGGTGTGGAAAAGTAATAAATTTTTTGTATTAAAATGAAGGCTTATTTACCATGGTTAAGATTTTCGATATATTTTTGCCGTTTGAAGATAATGCCTAATTATGCCTCTCTCATAGCAACCCTTTGTCCCTGTTAGCAAAAAATGGGTAGAACCTTTTCCACGAGCTTATATGAGGTCTATTCCTTAGCAGCTAGATTATTTGCTATTGACAGGAACATATGGTAATCACTTGGAGCGTCCAGTGAGTCACTATCGATGTAGGTAGATCATAGTCTGCAAATCCTTGCTAATCTCACGAAACACACAACAAAACCTTCCAGACCGTCAATCCGTTTGTTCCAACTCACAGCTCTTCTACCACGACTGTTTTTCTTTGGCGTTACTGTAAGTTATCCAGAGAGAGAGAGATTTACATTTATATATCTGATACATTGTGCAGACTTTCTTAATTTTAACATAAATTTCTAACAAAGAAGACTTCTCAACTTCACTCGAGAGTTGAGACAAAAATTACCGCTCATTTTAGCAATGACAGTTTCGATTAAATGATGGGCGTCTTTTGACTTATTTGCTCCAAGATAAGTATGAAATACAGTTAAATAATAATATAATTGGCCTTATTGAAAAAAAGTGGAACAACAATCGAAGCAAATTTCCTACATATTTTCAAACATTCATTTTTTTATTTTTCTTGTCAAAAGCTACTTGCTTCCCTCTCACAATCTACTACAGTAATTACTTATGTAAAATCAAAAATCGAAATTTTTGTATGAATGGTAATTAAGTGACTTTTCTGCGTCTCAGGAATTTTTGCGTAGGGTCGTGAGTTCGCCAGTGAGACCAGACTAACGTTCAAAGTTATAGAAAGTTGATCTTTCAAATTGCTGTCGGTACCCATCTAAATGCATTTCTAGCATGAAATGAAAGCTCATCTCTATTATTAAAAAAAGCTTTTAAAAACGGCATTTACAGTTTTACGTAACCGAATTTACTTTAAACTTTTAGCGAATAACGTTAAGTAAATTCGAATTTGCATAACGAAAAGAAGATCAATTAAGATTTTTAAAATTGTTAGTTGGATTTTCAAATAGTGTATTTGATTTTGGAATTAGCGGTTGGATCAAAGAGTAAGTATTTAGAAAACAATTTTTCATAATATTAGCAAAAAATTTGAAAAATATGTGTAGTTTTCTTTATATCCGAGGTAAATAGGTAAGAAGAAAAAAAGAACAACAAATCATTATATCTTTAAAAGACAAAGTCAACATCAAAAATAACTAAAAAAAAGTACTGCTTGATATTTTTGTATGAAAGGTAATACTATGGCCCCTGTAGTCCCCTACATTTGTTGGAAAAACATCAAGACACACAACACAAATTGGAGAAGGAACTCGGCCGAAATATTGCTTCAGCAGCTCAACGGTTCCGGTCTCTTGAGGAAGTCGATGAATCGCTCAAGGATGGGATCAAGGACAGACAGAACTCATTTTTTGGACATGGTATTTCATAGTTACCAAGGAGAAGATGTAAAGTAGCGAATTCCGAAGAATAATAATTTAAATGATGTATTTTTTTTTTTTAAATAAAATCACTTCTTTGATTACAAAAAACATACCGAATTCATTTGTACTCCCAATTATTTTTATAGAACTCTTAATATTGGGTATATTAATTTCCCAAAAATACATATACATTATTGTTATAAGTACTAATCAGTTATTTGAAAAATATATTAAATAAATATATATGACAAAATATAATATAAAAAATCTAAAAAATAATAAAAAAAACCCGTAAAACTAAACTGAAATTTAACATTTACTGAGAGAAATTGTCAAAATGCACTTTTTTTAACCTATTTCCGTGACAAAAATGTATATACATACATTCGTACATTCATATATATATGTAATTTTTTGCTCATTAGCTTAAAAAATTTCCATAATAATTCATTCATTTGTTGCACACAACAATAGCACATCATCTATTTTTAGCTAAGTCGCAAATAAAATCGAGCTAACACACAAACAGACGCGCTCACAAACGTAACGTGTAATGTGTGGCCAAGTAACACCTCTACAGGATCTAAGTTAATCTACAAATGGTTTCATTTTCGTTTTGATTTCACGAAAGCGACACATAAATAAACGCACCTACACACCTACGTAGGAAACAATCGGCATAAATACATATGCATCTATATGTATGTACTCGTATATACTCATATTCATTCATTCTTTCTGCACGCGCTTGTAGCAAAAACACAGTCGTAAGTCTTCACATTCCACCCCCTCTCCTCTCCAACACTTCATTTCGCTTTTTGCCAAACACACGAAATCTAAAAATACATACATAATACTGCTGGCAGGGTGTGTTGTTGGTCCATAGTCGGGCATTGCCCAGTGTGACGCAAAGATGCGTGACCAACTAACCAACAGATAAACACAACCAACCTACCCTCTGTTGTATTGAACATCCGCTTTTGTTGCTATACATAACTGCTTGTGTGTATGTAGTGTATGTATGTGTTTGGTGCAATACTTACGTTTGAGCGTTGCTGTACGCGAATGTCCCTCAAAGCTGCACATTTCCACGAATGTGAAAGCCAATGTGAGCTGGTCCAAGCAATGATTGTGTGTGTGTGTGTGTGTGCATGCGCGTGTTAATATCTGCGTGCTCAAGTGTTTATATAAATCAATAATGCTTAGAAAGAAACCAAGTAGCAGTGTAGTGCATGCAATTTTAGACGCACACACACATACATACCATGCGCAACGAGATGCAATGGTCACATGCGACAGTCATACGGATTCGCAGTTGCTCATGGCCAAGCTGATTGTTGCATGACTGCTGGTGGAGTGAGTAACAAATGTATATATGTATAAGTACGTATACACCATATGTATGTATAAATAAAAATATATAAATTTCTTTGAGATCGTGAGAGCAAGAACGATTTATCTATATATAATACATTTTACATATATATGTATACATATAGAAAAAATGAAAATTTTTAACAAAAAGTTGGAGATAAATTTTCCTTTTTACGTCGTTTCTTCATTAGCTAAAGAAAGCTATTTTCGTTAAAAAAATTTGTAACAAATAAGCCTTGATATAACAAATCTAAAAATACTATATATAAATATATTCCAAATATACACTCATGCGTATGTGTATATATGATTACATAGAGCTAGAAATAGAAAAAAAAAAAATACAAATGTGCATATGATACATATGTATGTATCGTCAACAACAAATCAAGTTAAGCCAGCAAAAATTTTGCCAAAGGCACGCCTTTGCCTATAAACTAATGCACATTATTACATATTTTTCTTGCATTATATTTAAATATATTTAAATAAAAGAGGCAAAAAAAATATTGCAAACTTACGTAAATCAGCACACTTGTCAAGCCCACAATCAAAATAGTGAATTCAATTTTTTTTTCATTTTTTTGCAGCATACTTTTAGGGGCTTGCTTATTATTTGCCCAAATGCTATCTATATTGTCGTTTTCAATAGCTTTTCTTTTTCGCTGATTACGTGCCGGTTAAGGGCTTGTACGAATCTATACTAAAAATATAAAAATATATATACGTTAGTTGGTACATACATATATAAAGTTGTCAAGCGTGTGTTAGTATATATGCACACAAGTCAAGTATGGCATATAAATGTGCATGTGGGCTTGTCTAGCTTATCACGTTTCACTACAGCTGCTACATGTATGTATATTTACATAGGGATGCTCATATAATTGTATGCACATACATATGTTTACATGTTTACCTGTTGCAATCTCTTTACATTGTTATTTTAGCTTTTGTTTGTGCCTGACATTCGTGTGTCAAACAATTGATTGTGTAAGTGGAGAATGAATGGCTTTGTCTGGTTTAAGATGAGTGGTTGAGATATTTTTTTTTTTATTTCCGAAAATTATTATTAATTTACCCATGCATGTGTGTGTATATATGTTTGCATAAAACTTCTTTTTGTTGAATTTAATGACATCGATTCAGATATATGGCAATGATAATTGGTTGCTACTGGAGCTGTTTAAAATTAAATGCCTCATCTGCTGCCCAGCACATTTTCCACGAATATTTCGATTGACGATTTGGCGCTTTGTAACCGCTTAAGAGGATTTTCGACCGAGCTCCTCCTTCCATTTGTGGTTTTGCGTCTTGAAGTTTTTATAACAAATGGAGGGCTCTACGGTTTATACTAAACCGCGTCGGCACGGCTGAAGGACTTTTATAAAGAGCCTTTATTTCATGTCAGAAATATACTCGACTGAACTGATATTCACTGCCGAATATTTCGATTTTTGATTAATTTGATATAAACTAAATGCGGGGAAAAATATACCAGTGTACAAATTTTAATGGATCCCCATTTATTATAAAAAGTTGTTTAGTTTTATTCATGGGGGTAGAAATTAATTCCATTATCTCTCAAAAGATGGCTTCAATTGCAAGTTATGGAAACGATTACCCATTTCATTTTGAAGGTCTCACATCTCGCAATATTAATTATTATGTATCAGCCTAAGTTTCTGACAACAACATTGTTTTTAGCCGAACATACCAACCTGGATTTTCGATTAAATAAAAAGTATTTGCGAGAACTTGTGATCGAATGCTTGCGAATGTTTCGGATGATTAGTGTCGGCCGAAAAGTCATGCGCAGAGTGGTTCCGGCCCTTCAAAAGACAAAGAGCATCCTGGCCAACACAAAACGTTTGAAGGTGAGACTTTACTGGATCAAGACTCGGCAAACCAATTCCGAGAGATGTCGAAACGCGATTTTCCATCTCGAAAAAAATACATCAAATGAAGAGATTCTTGCATTTGAGATGATAAGAAATAATATATGCAAAGTCTTGTAAGCCCGTTCTACCATCGTCTACATCGACACGAAAAAAAATATATGAACGGCTTAAAAGATATGCTCTACATGTGGTTGGACTAGTTGGGTGTGGTGCACTATAAGCTACAAAATCCAGGCGATACCTCTAAGTCGAAACGATAGTAATGATCGATACTATTGTAAGCCCCAATTATATTGCTTGAAAAATGTTTAGAAACTACGGAAAAGAGGACATGGCAGAATCGTAAAGCGAGGTATGGTATTCGAAAATTATCGGAGAGATGATAACAGGTAGTCGCTACCGTTGGATAGCCACGTAGGTTATTATAAAAATAAGAATGCGATCTTTGATTAAACCTCACACCTTTGACTCACCAAAAAGGAAGAAATCGAGAATCTTTTGCATACGTTCTAAAATGTAAAAATGTATTAAAAAGCAATATTTACTTTAACTGTCTTTCAACATCTTTTCTTTTTCAAAAAATCTCAATTGAAATGTATAACATTAAACCCGCTGTCATGAAGGAGAGTCGATCGTAAATCGCATCAGGGATTATACCTACAGCTTTGGCCAAAAGTATTAGGCACCCTACTAATTGCTGAATTTTTTGTTTTAACAAGTGAAGTAATGAAGTTTTATTAGTAAATCGGTGAAAGTACATTGAAATAGTGATAATAACATTAATATGTAGTAAGTCTATTCTTCGATTTAATAACCGCAGCAATTCTCTTAGGCACATTCGTCCGCACTTATAGCGTACCACTCGTTAATTAAGGCATTCTTTAAGGCAGTTTCTGATGTTATACTGTGTTCCTTAATCTTGCGTTTTTAAATAGCCTACAATGGGATTAAAATCTAGAGACTGTGTAGGCCAATCTAAGAAAATATAGTTGTTATCTCTTAACCAACGTCGCTGATTTGTTACAAGGAGCATTGTCTTGCTGAAATTGAACCCCGTCTAATTTAGTATCGCCGAAAATGCGCGTTAACGAAGGCAGAAGAAGAGCTTCTAATACATTTATGTACTTTTGACTGTCCATGCTGGTTTCCTAAATTCATCCGAAAGGGCAGCTGGAAGGGCAGAAGAAGATTTTTTGCAATCCATGAGAGACTCGCGTATAATTATTCGGTCATCTCGTTTACTTGTTAGACGCTTTCTTCCACTTTCCAATTTATTATTGTAGGATTTCTTCTCCAAATTGGCAATCTCAACCTGAGAGTTCCCTTCTTCACTTAGAACTTGAATTCTAACTCTATCATCGTAATTAATTTCACTTTTTTTAGGCTTTTCGGTAAATATGAACTGTTTTTATAACATTGGTAACTTCACTAAATGTAATTTACACTTTCACTTTTACAAATTTTTAATGCGAAAATATTTTATGAATTTCTTAAACTTACCCTGAGGGCTATGACTTTTAATATTACACAATTTATTCGCTTAATCAACAGTTTAACTCCCATGTAAGACATTTACAAGAGGAAGTGGTAACTTTGATACTTGTATATTAGTGGGGTGCCTAAAACTTTTGGCCAAGGCTGTATATATTATGTATGTATATTTGTTCAATATTTGCGTCGCAACTTAAAAGTCGCATAGCTAAAACTATAACTGATTACCTAAGTGATGATCACTGTGCTATACACAAACACACTCATAATGTTTGCATTTACATACATACATGCGAGGGCTTTATTTAATATTTTATATAAATTGAGAATTAAGCGTTCTTATTATATTCTGTAGTTTAACGTAGATTAAATAATGATTATACTCAATTCATTATAGCACATAAAATTATTCCATAGATTTTCCCAAAAAGAAAGCTTTTAATGACTTCATTTTTTATAAAAAGTTTTTATAAGTTTTTGTGGTTTTATTTTCACTTTACTTGATTTTTTTTTAATAATGAATATTAAAAATCCATTAGTGTTGGCATTAGTTGTACCTTATCTATGCATATGCATTAACAAAAAAAAACTTACACTTGCTAAATTTTTATTAATTACATAAGTTTGCATGTAGTATGTCATATAACTATTGACTTCCACGTATGTAGACATACCGACTACCAATTTGATAGAGAATGCATTTTTGTTAGTTTAAACTCGGCACGATGCGTTTCCACGTGCATCATCATGTGAGCGGGAGAGGAAAGCAACTACTCGAGTGCTTTTTTGTAAAGTAGTTGTAGTTTCTCGCACGTAAATGAAATTCGAAAGCACGTTGGAGTAAAGCTGAAATAAAGCTGCGGGATGCCATTATCTTGATTTGAAATGAGTAGATACTATTGACGGCTTTTTAAGCTCTAATGCGCTTCTCTCTCTCTCTTTCTCTTTTTCCTGCTCTCTTTCTTAGTATTGTGGTAATTTCAGTAATTGTAGAGATGACCTTTAACGGCCTCAAAACATGAATGGAATTAACCTCAACATGCCAAGATTTGTAGACCCTTGAAATAGATTGAACCACTCTTTGTTTGTTTATGCCGCTGATTAAATTTTCTTCGAAATAAAGTCCTTTATACATTTCACCTTGTCGTATGCAAGTCGCAGAATCTTCTACAGGTTTTGGCCCATGATGGGTAGCTGATCAATAGTGCGCCAAACAGGTCTAAAGCCAGGTTGATAACGTACGATAATTTTGCTGTTGGTGAGCCTAATGTCGCCTTACAGTATTTTAGATTGAATCTTCTACGTCTATTTTTAAAAATTTCGATTATTCGATAGAAATATTGGTGGTCCCCATTGCTTCTTGGTCTTACACTTTATACATATTATTCATCTCATTATCATTATAAACATTTTTAGGTAGCTACAAATATATGTATGTTTTTCCAGTTAATAATATTTATTTACTTTACATTTTCTTACTAAAAATAAATATACTTTTAATTGTTTACTTACAGATTTTAAAGCGTTGGACGGTCTTAGTAGGTCAGAAACTCGGTTGATTGTTTTTAAACATTTCCAACCCAATTCCATTAATAAATCGGCCAAATGAGTGTCGAAGAGGACGATCACGTTCTACAAACTTAAAGGTCCATTTTTAATTACAACAATAACAAACCTGTAATGGACTGGCTATTGGCAACGCCACAATTATGTAGCGCCTTTTCTTCATTGGGTTTCCTTGAGGGGGATACCTATGTTGTTAGTCCTGATGCATTATGTGAGTATATATATAATTTAAGTTTTATTATTACTCAGACTCTCTCTTTCTCTCTATCTGTTTCTCTCTCTTTAACCCTTTTTGTCTTTGCATTATTCAGCAATACTGGAGGAAATTAACTATAAACTCACCTATGAGGATCAAACTTTACGCACCTTTCGTCGTGCCATCGGTTTCGGCCAAAATGTGCGTTCCGATTTGATACCGCTGCTAGAGAATACCAAAGACGATGCTGTACTCGATTCGGTCATACGCATTTTGGTTAATTTGACTGTGCCTGTAGAGTGCCTTTTCTCCGTCGATGTTATGTATCGCACCGAAGTCGGTCGTCATACCATCTTTGAGTTGAATAAGTTACTCTATACGAGTAAGGAGGCTTTTACCGATCCGAAGAGCACAAAATCGGTTGTTGAATATATGAAACATCTGCTGGAGTCCGATCCGAAATTGTCACTACAAAAATGTGACAAAATCAACAACTGTTTGCTGTTGCTGCGCAATGTCCTGCACATACCAGAGACAAATGTGAACTTTGTAATGCCCTCAGCTCATAATCAACAGAGTGGTTCACATCCGGTGTCAATGCAAAATGCGATTCTATGGAATCTCTTCATACAAAGTATCGATAAGCTGTTGCTTTATCTGATGACATGTCCGCAGCGTGCATTTTGGGGTGTCACTATGGTGCAGCTGATCGCATTGATGTATAAAGATCAACATGTCAGCACGCTTCAGAAGCTGTTGAATTTGTGGTTTGAAGCTTCGCTATCGGAGAGTTCGGAGGATAATGAGAGTAATACCTCACCACCGAAACAGGGTAGCGGAGACTCCAGTCCAATGCTCACGTCGGATCCCACTTCTGATTCCTCGGACAATGGTAAGTCCTACTGCTCGGTTACAATTGAAAAAGTGACAGCAGAATTTGCTTTGATGCTGCCACCGGCAAGATTGAATGCGAATTCGCGAACACGAATAGGTGCACTAAAGAGTCCTATTTGTGTTTCAACAGGTAGTAACGGCTGCAAGAACGAGAGCGCTGAAGATCGACGTCAAGCCATGCGTGAGGAGGCGACCGAAGCCACTTTGCTGGAAGTTAGCCGCAAGGGACATGAATATCAAAACTCAATGATGTGTGATGGGCATGTGAAGGAGGAGGTAGATGATCTAGACTTGGCTAGCGTTGATAATAATCATGATTGCGAACGGCTATGCACATCGGGAGATGGAGAAACGTCATCATTAACATCGATCAAGGTTGAAGCAATGGATGAGATGGCTGATGGCGAGGATGGGAGAGGTGGCTGTTGCATGGGCGATGATGGTTCACCACAAGCGTGCAATATGAGCACTGATTGTCAAAACCAAAAACAAAAACAACAAAAACCACACCAACCAGCTAAACCTACTCAAAGCACTACCAACACCACCGATGCAGACTCTGCGAAATTCAAAGCGCCAGCAATTCTTATCAAACCCAAGCCGCTCTCGCAAATGATGGCCGATACGCACACCTCAGAACCCGATCCGCCACCGAAAATTTTCCAAAAGGTACCGCATTCGGGTCAATTGAATTTGACAAAGGGCAAGAGCTGTCCGCAAAAGCGTGAGTGTCCCTCCTCACAGTCGGAGCTCTCAGACTGTGGCTATGGTACGCAAGTAGAGAATCAAGAATCCATATCCACTTCGAGCAATGACGATGATGGCCCACAAGGTAAGCCGCAACATCAGAAGCCGCCATGTAACACCAAGCAACGCAGCAAACAACGCATTGTTATGGCGATGGTGGACAAAAAGGAGTTGCGGCGTAAGAAACTCGTTAAGCGGAGCAAGAGTAGTCTGTAAGTTGGGTACTTACACGCTGAAAAAGAACTATAATAAATTATTAATATTTCATTTAGCATCAATATGAAAGGACTGGTGCAACACACACCCACCGATGAAGATATATCCAACTTGTTGAAAGAGTTCACAGTCGACTTTCTACTCAAAGGTTACAGTTGCCTGGTGGGCGAGTTGCACTCACAGCTGCTCACCAATATCGTAAGTTTTTGCTTCACACGTTCACGCTTTGATATTTACCAATCTCTTTCTTTCCTCTTTATTTCGATAGAAAATACCCATTGACACTTCGCACTTCTTTTGGCTCGTCACTTATTTTCTAAAATTCGCCGCCCAACTAGAGCTGGATATGGAGCATATAAGTGCGGTGCTCACCTTTGATGTCATCAGCTATCTAACCTATGAAGGTGTCTCCCTTTGTGAACAACTAGAATTGAATTCCCGTCAGGAGGGTAGTGATCTGAAACCATATTTGCGACGCATGCATTTGGTCGTAACGGCAATACGCGAGTTTCTACAGGCCATCGAAACCTATAAGAAAGTTACCCATCTGAGCGAGGTGAGTTTTGCTGGCGCTCTGTTTTACTTTTAACTAAAATTAATGCGTTTCTTCTGGCGTCCCTTCTTAGTTGGATTTTTTTTACCTTAGCTTCCTCCATGTACACCAACGAGTATCAAATTAATGTAAAGGTGTAATCGATTCGGCTTTGTGGACATGAGAGCCCTTTTCCCTCGTGCGACTTCTCTCAGAATTGGTAGAGCTTGAATGTGCTTGTAACCTCACTGCGTTGATATGAATAGATATTTATTAATAGAAATGATAGAAAACGTTCCACGTGACCCCTTTCTAAAGCATAAAACTTGGATAGCACCATGAGTTAAGCATTTCTGTGTAACCTTTTTGATGAGAGCAAAGCGTTTTTCGAGTGGATCATTCTACCGTTTACATTCGCTAGGCGCAAACAAGCTTGTTCTCCGATGAGTGATTGCTCAAAGAGGCAGTAATGCTGAGATCTCGAAGGAAGTTTCCTTCTACCAAGTCCATCATAAAAATGCGACCCCACCAACCAAGGTTGAGATTGACCAGGTCTTAACTAAAGTTTTCTGGGCTGTTGCGCGGCTTATCTTCCGGTTATTATTCCATATAGTTAGCTTACGGGAGAGGATCCTCCTACCGATTAAATCGCTAATCTGCGACCTCACCCTTCAAGGTTTAGATTTAGGTCTTGACATAAAGTAATGGACTCTTAAACGACTTTTCTTCAACTTATTGCTTCATTTAGTTAGCCCTACTTCTTTTATATTTAGAAGACAGAGAACCGAGTAGTTTCGGCAGATTTGAACAATAGGAAAAGGTTGTAAGAGGATTTGCTTAAAGATGTCGTTGGTGTGGCTCGGGGACATAATAGATAAGAGGATCCTTCTTTGCTGCGACTTTTAACGCAAATTTTTTAAAAGCATTCCTTCGTACAGATGATAAATAGAGCTGCAGGGGGTTTCGTGTAGGGATAGTAAGGATTGATATGAGCAGAATGTATTTCTTAATCATAAAATTAATTCTCAATCATAAAATTTTCTTTTCCTTTTCCTAGGATGACCGTTTACACTTGCGACGCCTACAAACACAAATCAGCTCCACCGAAGACTTACGTTGTCTCTTCGTATTGCTCTTGCGACGTTTCAATCCAAATCTACACACCAAACAGTATCTACAGGATTTGGTTGTAACCAATCATTTATTGCTTTTAATATTGGATTTCATAACACAAACCGAGGGCGATACGAGCATTAAGATGACGGAGCATATTGCCCAGTAAGTGCCATATTTGTTGGATTTTTATTTATTTATTTTTTTTTTTTTTTTGTGAAAATAATTACAAACTTGCATTGCGCACAGATTCGCCACACTCGAGGTGATGAACTATTATGGCATGCTGCTGGAGGATTTCAATAATAATGGTGAATTCGTCAACGACTGCATCTTCACAATGATGCATCATGTGGGTGGTGATCTCGGTCAGATTGGTACATTATTTCAGCCGATCATATTGAAAACTTTCTCACGCATTTGGGAGACCGATTATGAGTTGTGCGATGTAAGTCGTTAAGACTGTGATTGAATTGTGAAACTCAACTTAATTAAATTCAACTAAAATTACTCTTTTTAATTAGGACTGGTCCGATCTTATTGAGTATGTCATACACAAATTCATAAATACGCCTCAAAAGAGTCCATTATCCTTGCCAAAAGCCTCATTGACCGAATTGACCAAGGAACATAATCTGGAAAATACAGTGTGGTATGTGAAAATCATTTACAAATCTAAAAAAAATTTAATACATGATTTTCTTATAAACACAGCGCCTGGACTCAAGAGGAAATGGACACATTATATTGGTATTATGTGCAAAGCAAGAAGAGTAACGATGTTGTGGGCAAGATTGTCAAATTGTTCAGTAATAATGGTAATAAGCAGAAGTCACGCATCTCGATCATACAGCAATTGCTGCAGCAGGTAAGTGTTGCCCCATAAGTCACTTATTCGACTCCACTCGTTTGAACGACAATCTAACAAAATCCTCTTACCGTCGCAGGACATTATCACCTTACTGGAGTATGATGATCTGATGAAATTCGAAGATGCCGAATATCAACGCGCTCTATTAACCACGCCAACTTCCACTTCGACCGAATCGGGCATTGAGTTGAAGAATTCTTCGACATTTGCCAAACCTTCTGATGACATTCAAGTATGTTTGTTGCGTTCCTTTTTAATTTTGTTTTATTTTCTAAAAATATTTTTTTTTCACAATTTGCAGATTTTACGTGATCTTATCATTAAAGAGAATAAAGAAAAACATTTAATTTGGCTTCAGAAAATCTTATTGGAATGTTGTTATATAAAATTGATTTTGAAAAATTGTCTAGAACGTGAAGATCGTCAAAATTTACAATATGTCATGGAACCGGTGGCCTATCATTATATATGTAAGTAGAAAATATTGCATTTAAAGAACTATAGATAGAAAGCCTTTGGTGGATATTATTGGATGTTTGATGAAATGTTGGACTCCAATTGGGGTTATTATCAAAAAATCTCAATCTAAGGTGCACTATATTATTAGCACTTTGTAAGCTCCTTCCTCCAATTTGTGGTGTAGCCTTGATGTTCTTCTAATAGCTGTTGCTTATCCTAAGCCGCCTCCGAATGTCCCGAATACGGTCGTTGGGCCGAGGGGTGACCTGGTCTGCCAAATGTTAGTTTATACTTGGAGCTAACTCTATTAGCAATTTATTTTGAGTTTTATCTCAAAAATGTATCGTACGTTTGGTTTTAAACCGTTTTTGAAAGAAAGATGAAAAAGCCTGTATGAAGCTACGATGTGTAACAATTAAGCAATAAGAATGATTATATTGCCTCGATTGTGGTAACCCTGCGACATTGAAAATCCCTTTCCCTCCTCTCGGCATCCTTCTCCTCTCCATTGATATCCATCGCTCTCGCTTGTTTAGTTCGCCTACTGTGTCATGTTGAGTAAACGTGTGTTCGTGGTTCTCGTCACGAAAATGGAAAAACGAAATGAAGAACAACGATTCGCGATAAAATTTTGCGATGCTTGATCGAGTTATTACAGGTGATGAAAGCTGGTTTTTTCAATACGAACCGGAAACCAAACACCAAAGCTCACAATGGTTGTCTCCCGAAAAAAGCTCTCATGAGTAAGTCGAAGGTGAAAACCATTATTATTGCCTTTTTTGATAACCGTGGAATCGTCCACAAAGAATTTCTTCAACCGGGGCAAGCCGTAAAAAAATTCTGTTATCCCAAAGTACTCCAAAGATTGGGAAAACGAGTCAACAGGGTGCGCCCACACATCGCTCGAAACTGGATCCTTCATCACGACAACGCGCCGTGCCACACCGCCCTCAGCGTGTCTCAGTATTTGGCTTTTAAGAGATCGCCGTGTTGCAACAACTGCCTTATTCGGAATTTCCTAGACCAAAATTTTTGTTCAAAAGAACCCATTGTCAACTAAGTACATCCAGGCGGTCGTGACGAGGATACTCGCGGACATCCTAGTCGAAGCGTTCCAAAAATGTTACGAAATGGAAAACTCAATGAAACCTAAGGGAACTACTTTGAAGGAGATGGCAGAGTTGTATAATAACTTTGAAATATACGGTTTTTATGGAATCAGTCTCATTACTTAATTGTCACCCTTGTATCATTCATTCAGGTCAAAAATACACTCGGAAATAATGAAATTTTCAATCATTGGTTCGAATTAAGCGCACCTATTTCCGTATAGAATTCCTCAGCGCTGAATGCCATATAAGGGACGCTACTGTATGTTTCTTTCAAGCTTCTTTAATTACTGATTTTATTCTGAACTACATCAGCTAATTTAGGAAGTGATACAAGCCCATCGGTTCGGCACTGACGTTTCCGTTGAAAGTCATAATTTTGAAGTCGCAGATAACTTCGTCTACCTGGAACCAGCATTAACACTAAGGACAATGTCAGCATGGAAATTCAACGCTTGGACGATAAAAACATTTGATTATTCGGTCTAAGTTGTTTTCGATCGAGTGGTTTTGTGAAAAGATTTATGATGCTATGCTACCGAATTTCGCAGCCGATAGAGCGATGAGTTGGGCGTGACAAACGACATAAGTTGCGAATGAAGAAACAGAGACTATACGGGCTAGGGTACGCTGTTCGGATGGATGAGAACAACTTAGACCTTTTCGATGTGGTACTCTACCGTGGATACATGAGTAGTAGACTCCATCGAGAGTATCAGGTGGATGTTGCTGCACTTTGTATTTTCTATCGGGGCCAAACAGCCAGAAGAGCAAACTACAGATGTGCTAATTCAGCTGCAATGTAGTAGTATTTTTAGTATATCCCACAAGCACTTTCGTTTCGTCCTCGACCCGTCCGGCAAGTCTTCTGAACGAGGGTGATATTAACCTTAATTTCAACGGTAACATCAAACAGATGGGCAGTGTAAGCTTTCCAATTAAGATATCGGTCATTTCAGGTGCACGGCCTCAAATCGTGGTCTTAAACCATTTGCAGTGGTCATTATCAAAACGGAAATTTCTCTTATTTGACTTACATTATTGGTTTATTTTACATTGGAACTACTCGCAATATCTACGCGATAGGGGCCAAGCAACGAGCATAACTTCTATTCCCGAGAGATATAAAATTAAAATACAATTCTCTCATTAAAAGATGCTTTAAATAATATACAAAATGGTTTCTAATCTCTCGCTAATAATTTCAGTGAAAAACAAGTCGATTCCCGTTGTGCAATGGAACAGTGATCAGGCAACAACAATGCTCTATCAACCGTTTGTGCTACTCTTACATAAGCTAGGATTCCAGTTACCAGCTGATGCGGGATCGGTGTTCGCACGAATTCCCGACTTTTGGACGACAGAGATGATGTTTAGTTTGGCGCGTAAATTGGGACCGTTGGACAAATGTGAGTAATTTTTAAAGGTGGGCTAAATGTTGAGTGGTCAATGCTAACAATCTTGAGCATATTGCTTCTTTTTCTTTCTCTTTTGCAAACAAAAAAAAACTTTTAATATAAAAATAATGTACATATATATTTATGTATGTAAATAATAAAATAACCAAAAAAAAAAACCAAACAAATTTTACAACGCAACTACAAACAACCTGAAATCAATGAAATAAAAAATATAAAAATTCCAAAAATAATACAAAAACCACGCAAAATGTTTCTAAAATACAAACAAGCAAAACAAAAAAACTAAAAAATGCAATTCATTATTAACGTTTTAAAAAAATAAAAATAATTATAAAAATGCGTGCTAAAATCTAAAACTATATCTGATGCCTTGTAATAAATTGTTCAAAAATTTGAACAATGATGTAATCACACGCTCGTCGTTCATCCGTTCGTTTCATTTACTCTATTTGGCTATACTTCCGTACATATGTATGCAATGTTGTGCTCTTTCTGTTATCCTTTTACCTCTTCACTCTCTCTATCTCTCTCTGTGTGTATTTCTCTCGCTCTGTCTCTCTTGTACCTTTGATCTTGTAGTGTTGATCAAGTTCGATATGAGTCAGTTTGAGGAAGCAAATGCCATAGAGCTGCAACGTTGCCATCATGCAACAGCAGCGCGCGGTTCGCTCAGCTCAATGTCCAGTTTGGAAATGGAAATCGGCGGTTCCGATGAGTATACGACTTTGGGTGGAGTTGGTGGAGGAGTTGCAACTGAAAATACAAATGGTAGTGGAATTAGTAACGCCAGCGGAAATAGCAGTGGCAGAGGTAGCATTAGTAGACGGTTGAGTAGTGGCAGTGGCAGTATATTGGCGCCGGTACCCGAGGTCGATGCCAAGCTGGAGAAGGCGAGCGCGTCCAATGATGTATTTGCTGTACCCAAATCGAAACATTGCAATCCGATTATAAGGTGAGTAAAAATAGTAATTAGGTTAAACTTGAAAAATAATATATATAAAAAATATATTTCTTAGATAAAATGTGTTTTTTTTTTGTTTCGATCCCAAAAGGCTTGCTCGAGTCACAAACTGTGACTCCTGTTGAGGTGACGGATAACTAGAGTTCTAAGCTCCAGCGCTTCACCTCAACCTAGCGCTTGGCATTAAATTAAAGTGTCACAACCAGTTTATATCCTCTTGAGGAAAGTCCTACTGAATGTAAAATATGGTCCAAAATAGCTCATAAACCATATAACCAGCTTAGTGTATGTATTTGAAAGAGCCTCATATCTTGAGTGTCAACTTCATCTACAGCTGGGGCCGCTGAATGACTTGCTTTGTTACATACGGGTCCATTCATAATTTAAGCTTTGTAACCGCTGAAACAATTTTCCGCCGATCTCCTATTCCAGTTTGTGGTGTGCGCCTTTATATTGTTTCCAACAAATGGATGAACCTACAGCTTCGTCTGAACCGCTTCCGAAGGGCCGTGACATTTTTACGAAGAACTCTTTTCTTTCCTGCCAGTAATACATTCGGAGAGGTTGACGTTTCTGGCCGAGAATGGACCGCAATTAGAAATTAGACTCAAGCCTTGGTCTTACGAATGGGCAGTACGCAATACACATCTCTCGGCTAATGTGTTTGAAACCTTTCTTTGATAATTTAGGGCGCCCATGGTTCTGTTTTTGAAACACGGTCTCGAATAGTCGAACTGTGTTTATTTTTTAATTTTGGCAATATAATAATAATACCAGTCAAATTCTCAAAATCATTAGTCTCTAAAAAATCAAACAAAATTTTGAATAGTTGACATAGTCCGAATTGACTCATTGATGCTCAAACTTATTTACACCGCCTGAAAAACATGTCATCTCGAGGTCTTCAAACAAGGTCTTCAAAGAAGGTCTTCAAAGAAGGTCTTCAAAGGCAGTCTGTTCCTGTAAACGATTTCCTTTTCAGTTTGTTAACAAAAGGAAGTAGAATTTGATGAGTATGGAGATGAAGCAGCAGCTCCTAAGCAAATTCAACCAATTTTGTCGTGGGGAGGGCGGAGGTTTGAGCACTTTTTCCTTCTCACTTTTTCAGCGGTGCGTACGGTACCCACCCCTAGAACTTGACAGAGAGGCGCTCCGTGTAATCGATATATAGATCGCATTTCGTGAATCTCAAAAAACGAGGGCGTCACCTGAAAGGCTGATGTGTTGGTATGTTGCTTAAGAAAGTTCATTAGCACGATCTTCGTGTTTTTCGGAATACGTTCATTGGCGCTGATCAAGTTCACCAGCTTGAAAGTTTCTCGGTCTCTGGTATGTTCTAGCGGATGGATCCATGTTCAAAGACATTTGCCATGCTTTGCAGGTGATTTTTAATTCAGGATGTTTTGGAAAAAATGCTCCGTTCAAGTTGATTTCGGTTAAAAAATTAATTTTATTAAACTTCATTTCTTGGATTTTTCTAAAACTTACATATATATTTATCTTTTTCATCAAAAATACCTCATCATAGATTCACGCCAGAGCCTGCCCCATTGCCGCCTTTGCCAAATTGGTTGCAATTAGTGATGAAAAGCAAAGTAAATATAAATTCAGTAACAACAGAAGATAATATTGCTCATAATGTCCAAAATACCGTTGCGGCAACAAACACAGTTGAAAGGTAGGCGAAAAAAATAGAAATCAAAATGAAACAAATTTTCTCCCAGATATTTCATAATTAGATATTTTAACAAAGACGTATGTATATGTATGTACATATGTAGTTTATGAATATTTTAATTTTGTTAATTTAAAGTTTTCAAGCGCGAAAGTTATATATGTACGCATCACAAAACAAACATTTTGGTTTCATTATTTCTATTAATTGGCATGATTTTGTATTTTTTATTTAAGGCTCCGCGCTTACATGGCAGCTTTTGAAGAAGCACATGTAGAAGTTGAACAATACCAGGATGTTAAAAATTTTCTCAAAATATATCTGTGGTGAAGGGCAGACATTTAAATAAACAAAAATATCAATAGAAGTCGACATATTTTCGGTTATGGTTATAAAATGAAGAAATTTCAAAAGAAAAAAATAACAATAAATAAAAAAAATTTAATCAACATATACACATTACATATGTATACAATACAATGCATACAAAAATAATCAAATAAACCACAAATTCGTGATCGAACGGCGCTAACCACCTATGAGCTGTCGTTGAAACCAAGGCCGTAAGAATAAAAAAATATAAATATTTTAAATATAACTAAATATGTATATAAACAATTTCTAATTTCCATTTTCCATTAACCCAAACGCAAAAGTGCTTTCTTTGGAGTAAATCGCGCTTTCCAAATGCTTTTCTAAAAACCTAGTAGGCTTGAACGTGATTTTCACTTTTCCCTTAATATTCATATATGTGTTTATGTGAGCTAGTACAAGTGAATAACTCAAAAAAATTGCCGAATTCTTATACTTAATAGTCTAACTTCTTCTATTATTGCATATTAGACCGGTCCGATATTAGAGAGGCCCGATTTCCGTTCATTTTTTGCTACAATTAGTATGTCAGCAATAACGTGCCGGATATTCTCTTCAAGGCGTCAGTTGTCTCAAGCTTCTCAACTTTGCCTCCGCCGTTTTTTTCTAAAAGTGCTTACAGATATATTACTCAAAGTATTGTCCTTCGATAGGCACAACTTTCTTCCATCTGTCCGGCAATTTTCGGATCCCGGCTCGAAAAAAAGGGTCCTCTTTTGACGCTATCCATGAAGCAATCCATTTTTCCAATTCTTCGAAGGATTGAAAATGTTGATCTGCCAGGCCGTGTGCCATCGAACGGAATAGGTGGAAGTCAGAAGGGGCGACATCTGGGGAATACGGCGGGTGGGGCAAGACTTCCCATTTCAGCGTTTCCAGGTACTTTTTGACCACTTTTGCGACGTGAGGCCGAGCATTGTCGTGTTGGAGGATGACTTTGTCATGTCGCTCTTGATATTGTGGCCGCTTTTCTTTTAGCGCGCGACTAAGGCGCATCAGTTGCGTTCGGTAGCGATCTCCTGTGATGGTTTCACCCGGTTTTAAGAGCTCGTAGTAAATCACACCGAGCTGATCCCACCAAATACAAATCATAACCTGGGCGCCGTGAATATTCGTTGGAACCACTTCCGACACGTTCTTTCACTCAGAGTAGCATCACCGAAAGTTTCTGAGAGCATTCGATGCGCTTCAGCTGCATTTTTTTTTTCGAATTGTAACAGAAAAGTAAAACTTCCCGCAAATTGCGAGAATTAGGCACATAAACGGACATTTTCGAGTGTAAATAATACGAAAACAAGAACAACTGTCACTGAAACGGCGATGACAATTCGTTAGGCACTGTCCACACTCACTTTAAAGGCATTATCATCTGTGTATTTTAACCAGCTTCAGCCGGTACAGCTACCTATCAGAAAACGGCGGAAGCAAAGTTGTACACCAGCGCTTTGTAACCGCTGAAGCGGTTTTCCGCCTCCAATTTGTGGTTTTGCGACTTAGTGTTTCTCCACCAAATGGAGCAGCCTAAAGTTTATTCTAAGGCGCTTCCGAACGGCTGACAAATTCTTTTATGAGGAGCTTACTTTCATGTCCGAAATACACTCGGAGGGGTGGATATATTTCCTCCGATTTCACATAATCTCACAAAAACTAGTCCGGTGGTGTTAAATCTCACGATCTTGAAGGCCTTGCCACAGTTCAAAAACGCGAGATAAAGCGCTCCATATTTTAAAAAATCAAAAACAAACTGGATATAAATCTAGCTGCATCTATCAAAAATACCAACTACGAAACAAGTTTTGCCTCATTAAAAACATGACGCCTAAAAAACTCCCTTTAGTAGTATATCTTTTTTCATTGCTACATACTGCACAGTGAAATCCTTCAGTGACTTGTATTAAATTATGGAGACTTATAATATCACCCAAGGAGCTCAATGAGCCTACTAGTTTAATGGCATCCGGCATCATGTCCTCAACCTGCTTTCAAACAGTAAATACAATTTCCTAAGTGGCCTCATAATCATTCAATTTATATAACATTAAAAATATTAAATTAAAAAAGTAACAAATTTCAATCACAAAAAAATGTTATTATTAATAAGTTTACATTAATTTTCAAAGTACAAATTGGTTTTAATTATAAACGATATACATCTTTTTATGTTTCCTTCGTTTGCTACGATAGGACTTGCCTTGATAGTACTCTTTGGTGTAGATTGTCTTGTTAGGTGCAATTCTGTACTTCGTTACAGAGCTGGCAAGTCCTGTTTAGTAAATTTTTATTTTGGAAAAGTTTGCTGTGGGTAATGCGAGTATGGCCAAGACGAAAGCGGGAGTATACTACGGTTTTTCGCCTAGAAATTGCAGGGAAGATTGGCGGAACCACACTTAGGTTAATGCATTTGTAATGATGAACTTTACTTTGCCAGTGTTGGGACATGAGCTGCCGATTAACTTTAAGTAGGTCAGTTGGAGGCTAATTCGAGGTGAAGTAGTTATCACTTTTCGCGAAGCTTAAGGAAGGGCTGATATGCAGTTTTGAATCTTCTTCTAGTCCTATCCTTTGAAGCTTTTAAATGCTTAAGATGTGTTCTAGACAGTGCCAGACAAGAAACAGGTCAATTTTCTACTTTTACTGCTAGTAATGCACATTCCGTTGGCATGTAGAGCTTGTAGGTTGTGGCCTGCCATTACTACTACAACTTTTTTACATTCCTTTCAAGACTGCCTTTACATGTGAGCTTCTCAGTCTTGTACGCCGTTCAAAGGTTCCATCTCAATTTCATCCATTTTCAAATCTCTCAGAAGCTTCAAACAGAGAAAAAAGTTTTTAGCGATTTTTGGCACTGATTATGTCGGTAGTCGCATGGAGCTTTTGTCAATCTCGTGAAATATTTCGTTCCTCAAAATGGGCTTTTAGCTTGGAACCTAAGTGTGCTCTGATTTATCTACAAAAAGGACGATAACGTAGTCTGCGCCATCTTCCGTGGGATATTCCTCCTTAACATCGCCTATAAGCTAAATTCCACCGTCCACTATCTGATTGGACCTTATAAGTGTGGCTTTGGACCTGGTAAATCAACCATTGACAAGATTCACCATGCGCCAAGTCCTGGGCAAGGCCCGTAAAATGAGGATCTTCATTTATTTTAAATCAGCTGCCTCTACGAGGCAATGTATGTACTTGACATTCTCGAAAATGCTTATACGGTTGTTTAAACTGATGTTAAGCAACATCAAAAGTTTCATCAGGATCGTGAATAATGTGTGAAATTTCCTATCTATGGTTTCTGCTTTCTCCAGACTGGATAAGAAAGCTAAACGGCTCCCACGCCATTGTTTACAGTTATAACTTTGAACTCGTAGATAATTTCAGCCAATGCAGAATCCCTCTTGACAACAATTGCTACTTTGGACAGAGTAGACAGTCCTCTCTCGAATAAAGTCCAATTCTTTCATCTTCCCGTTCTCCCATATGGAGCGGAGGCATATGAAGATAAGTCGGCGTTAAGAAATTTCGAGTGAAAAGTTTTGTATAATATTAACAAAGTAGCATTAATATTATTATATTATGCGCATTGGAAATGGGGAATACTGCTGTCAATGTAACTATGAGTCGTACGAGATATTCTGGCGTGTAAAGAAACATCAGCTGAGCTCGCTAGTTCATGTGGTCCAAATGGATGACAATACTCTAGCTTCCTGCTGGTGGAAGAACAAAAAAAAGATGCTATCCATTATGTTGGATGGATCAAGTGGAGAAGAACCTGGCCACGCTTGGTATTTCCGATTGGCGTTTAACAGAGGAAGGAAGCAATGGCTATATATATAATGGCTATAGTCATATAAGCCGTGCCTAGTAACCTGCTGGGATAATAATATATGATAATAATACAGCCTTGGCCAAAAGTATTAGGCACCCTGTCTGAATTTTTGGTTTTAACAATTGAAGTAATGATGTTTTATTAGTAAAACAGCAATTCTCTTAGGCATGCTGTGTACAAGCTTTTTACGTTCGTCCGCACTCATAGTGTATCACTCGTCAATCAAGGCATTCTTTTATGCAGTTTTTAATGTTATACTGTGTTCCTTAATCTCGCGTTTTAAAATATCCCATTGAGCACAGGGTTAAGATCTGGAGACTGTGTAGGCCAATCTAACAAAACAATGTTGTTATCTCTATACCAACGCATCGTTGTCGCTGATTTGTGACGAGGAGCCTCGTCTCTCTGAGCCTTGTCTCGCTGAAATTGAACGAACATTTCGCCGACACTATCAACAGCCATGCAGCCCCAGATCATAATGCTGCCTTCTCCATGCTTAACAGTGGGTACCACGTAATCTGGATGATATTCTTCCCCAACCCATCGCCTCACAAACGTCACACCAGGTGTGCCAAATATCTGTAGAAAAGAAAAAAAATGTTTTCATAAGGTATTTCCTATTCTTTTCTGAGAGCCACGGCTTCTTTCGAGCTTTACATCCTGTTAAACCTGCTTCCAGAAGTCTTCTTTAGTGCTGTTCGAGCACTAACTGGTTTACTGAATTCATACGAAAGGGCAGCTGCAAGGGCAGGAGAAGATTTTTTGCGATCCTTGAGAGACTCGCATACTTATTCGGCCATCTCGTTTA